GAGCAAACAAAACCTCGTCAGGTGCAGCACCCAACTCAGAGTGTAAACGACAGAAGGAATTTGGCAGTTGAGACAAAGACTGGAGGAAGTCGGCGAGCCGCCTCCATGACGACAGATGCAGGCAAATCAGAAAGGGTTGTGGAATTGGATGGTCTTCGGGAAAGAAAAACCACGCAGAATCATCACTGACCACAGCGACATACAGAGCGCTAATATCGACCATCTGAGAAAATCGATGGTAAACGAGATTATGGTAATAGTACAGGGTATGCATGAACCACTAGGAGGAGAATCGGGATGGGGCGTTGATGAGGAGAACAACGAGGGACTTTGAGAAGTCGAGGAAGCGAAGACACGGAGACATCAATGTTCGGGAAGTAATCGGATCAATCCATATGCAGAAAAAAGTGGAGTGGAGAGAAGGGTGATCGCAGAGCCTTGGCAGAGCCCTCCACCAACGTGGGAGATTTAATTTATTAAGTGTTAATTAAGGCCTGTAAGCTCACGTGATATGAGGGAGTACAAAAACCCTCCTTTTTGGCGCTTGCTGTACTGAACCTTCGCCTTGTAACGTTGTACATATACATAGCAGTAAACGTACTTTAAACATGGCCTACAGAGGCGATCGTGGACGGGGTGGCTTCGACAGAGGGAGAGGGGGACGAGGAAGCCCTATTCCCGGCGACCGGGGACGGGGTGGCTTTGACAGAGGGAGAGGGGGACGAGGAAGCCCTATTCCCAGCGACCGGGGACGGGGTGGTTTTGACGGAGGGAGAGGGGGACGAGGAAGCCCTATTCCCAGCGACAGGGGACGGGACTCACCCTCTGGCTTTCGTGGCGGTGGCGGCAGAGGCGGTGACCGTGGTGGCCGAGGGTTCGACAGAGGCCGGGGAAGGGGCTTTGGTGCTCCAAGAGAACAAGGCGGGTAAGTGCTACATTTGGAACAATACCACGCTCAAACAAAAACTCTGCAGAGTATTTCTCGAGAACCAACCAGCTACCGTCGACGCTCGAGTAGCTGATGACTCCGACAAGGCGCTCGTTGCTAGTTTACGAAACACTCAGCTCAGGAATGACCCTGATAGTATGCCCTTGCGCCCAGACTTTGGCACTGTTGGGGTGCCAATCAAACTTCGCACCAATTTCTTCCCTGTGCGCGTTCCCAAGGGACCGCTTTATGAGTATGACATCGCTATCACGCCTGCGGCTGGAACAGCTACTCGTCGTGTCAAGCGTCGCATATTTCAGCTCGCAGAGCAGACTACTACGTGGCAACAGTCTGGGATGCGTGCCACTGTCGCACACGATAGCAGTGCAAAGCTCATATCGGCTCGTGTTCTAGCACAGCCTCTTACGATCAAAGTCCCATATTATGACGATGACCAAACTGGGCCTCCGGCACAGGGTGGCAAAGAATACACTCTCACAATCAAATTCATTCAGGAAATCAACACACAGGATCTCATGAGGTGAGTAGGTCATGTGTTTCGAAAATCTCTCTTATGTATATCTTGCAGTTACTTGAATGGAGATAACCAGTATCGAAACTACAACACCCTTCCTGTCATTTCCGCGTTGAATCTCATTCTTGCCGCGCATCCATTGCGCAGCGGCATCAAAGTCGGTCAAGACCGCTACTTCTTCCGCTCTGCTGCTGTTCCAGCAAATCTCGGCGGCGGTTTAGAAGCATGGAAGGGCTTCTACTCTTCCGTGCGCCCAGCTCATCATCAGCTGATGGTGAACGTCAATGTCTGCACCACAGCGTTCTATACCCCTGGAAATCTTGCGGTGCAGATGATGGCTTTCCAAAACTCCAGTTTCGGCGCACGAATGGAAGCGTTCTGTAAAGGCGTCAGGGTCAAAGCTACCCATCTTGGTTATCGAAAGACTGTCAAGTGTCTTGCCCGCCAGAACGCACGCCAGTACACCTTCCCGTGCGACGAACTTGGAGGATCCGTCTCAGTAGAGCAGTACTTCTCGCGTAGTGAGTGTCATGCTCTCTCCTCCAAATGCTGACGTTGTATTGTTCATAGAATATAAGATTAAGCTGAAGCACCCTGACCTACCTCTTGTCGATGTCGGGGGGCAGAAGAAAAACTACCTGCCAGCCGAAGTTTGCGAAATCCTTCCTGACCAGCCTTTCCGCGGCAAGCTTACAGACGATCACACTGCAGCTATGATAACAGTCGCGTGCCAACCACCCAACGTCAATGGCAACGCTATCATGAACGGTCTCAGAGAGCTCGGGTTTGTAAACCCAGGTCCCACACTTGGCGCGTTTGGTGTATCCATCGGGCCCAACATGGCAGTTGTCCCCGGCCGGATCCTCCCGAGACCTGGACTCAAGTATGCCAACAACGTGTCGCCCGCAGTTGATGACAGAGCTTCGTGGAATTTGCGGAATATTCGTTTTGCTGTGGGCGCGCGCCTGGAGAAGTGGGCTGTCCTGCTCATTGGCGATCGTGGTAGAGACGAGTTTCAGGGACCTCAAGATCCTGCCCTCCGTACCGTTATCAGCGGGTTCATGGCCATGTGCAAGAATAGCGGGATCTTTGTGTCAAATGAGCAACCTCCGGTTGTAGCGGCAAACCTCCCGCCCCAAGATAGAAGTGACCCGCTTAGGAAGAGCGCCATCACAAATATTCGTGAGAGTCTGATGAAGTTGCATCCAAAGCCTTCCTTGGTACTCGTGATGCTATCAAACGGCGACAAGAACATTTACGAAGGACTGAAACACTTATGCGACGTGTACCTCGATGTCGCCACTGTGTGTGTACACGTGGGCAAGATTAGGAAGGAGAAGGGGCAGCCACAATATTTTGCAAACGTGGCCTTGAAGGTAAATATGAAGATGGGCGGCGTCAACCATAAACTCGACGAAAACTCGGGTCGGTGGCTCTCCAGCGAGCCAACGATGGTAGTCGGAATGGATGTGACCCACCCTGGTCCTGGAAGTGCAAGAGGAACACGTGAGTACTACATTTGCATGGTTCGAATGGGTACTTATTCCTTCGACAAAGCCTCCATTGCTGCAGTAGTTGCGAGCGTGGACAATCATTTCGCTCAATACCCTGCAAGTCTCGAAATCCAGGAGTCGCGGAAAGAGGTACGATCTTCAGGGCAGTTCCTTTCTTGCCAATAACGACCTACCTAGATGATTACCAACCTCAAGGAGATGATGATGGCGAGGCTTCAACTTTTCCGGCAACGTAGCAAGGTATTGCCTAAACGCGTACTGGTTTATCGCGATGGAGTTTCTGAGGTGTGATTTTTCTGCTGCGAAGCTGGGTGCATATCGCTCATGCTAAATTCAGGGGCAATTCAATATCGTCCGGATGGAAGAGCTTCCGGAGATAGTAAAAGCCTTCCATACCTTCGATCAACCAAAGAAGCCTTATCGCCCCCAACTAACTATTGTGATTTGTGGCAAGAGGCATCATACCAGATTCTATCCCACAGAACGGAAGGATGCTGCAAATGACGGCAATCCAAAGCCTGGAACAGTAGTTGATCGTGGGGTCACGGCAGTATATGACTTCGACTTCTTCCTTCAAGGTGAATTTTGTTCCTTGAAGCAGCGTTTGTTCAGTTAATTACACTCCCTACAGCCCATGGCGGTTTGCAGGGTACGACGAAGCCGACCCATTACTACGTCGTCCATGATGAAATTGGCTTCGGGTCAGACAGTCTTCAGGGCCTTACGAATGCCCTGAGCTACATGTTCGCGCGCGCTACTAAGGCCGTGAGCCTCGTATCCCCCGCATATTATGCTGATGTAGCGTGCGAACGTGGGCGATGTTATTTGAGGAAGCTCCTCCAGGGTCAAAGTGGGGATGGTATAACGGCCAGCGGTAGCGCCAGTACCAATGAACAAGATGTTATGCGGGAAGCACAGGCACTCTGGCGTAACGGTGTCTCCAAGAACTTGAAGGACACCATGTTTTACTTGTGATCATGCGCATCTACTTTCTTTTTGACTACTGATTATCATGCTCTCAATCGTTAATAGCTATTACTCACAGGTTTTGTCTTGTCTTGCGTTGTTGAATTGCTTGGTTTCTTAGATGACTTCCAGCTACGTTTGCTGTAGTTTCTTGTTTGGATATGTAAACTGGATATACGAACCGTGTTTTGTTGCACAACCTAGGCCTTATGAGCTGTTCAGAGCAAAAGTTCGAGCACCTCCGAGCACCGCCGACGTTGGGTAGGCGTTATTGGACAATACTGTCAATATACCACTTCGAGTTCCATTCGAACTTCTAAATTTAGAATGTGTTATGTATGCATTTGATCAAGTTGCAATTGCGGTCATTTTTCAAAAGCCGAGATTTTTCGGGGAGAACACATACAATTTAGTACTTACCAACAAGGAAACCGTGACGAGAAGGCAACGCCGTGTGCGCGCAGTGCGCATGTTCGATTCCATGATAATCAACGAAGATATTACGAAAGTATAGGGCTTGCGTGCATGTCTAGCCACCTCTTCGATCGGATCATGCGTGATAAGGTACCCTTTTGGTAGCACCCAGATCCATATTCTGCTTGGTATCACTGTTAGACGATCAGGACGATTGGGCCGCGGGCTTACCTGGCGGTAAACTGCACTTTGTTTCATGAACACTCCAATCACCAACATCGGATGGAAGTGCGTTCCAGGAACGGATGTGAGAGGCGTGAGCCAAAATGCACACCTTCGCCCCAAATCTTGTTGTTTGGATTAATATCGTGAGGTCACCCTAACATATTTTCCCGTCATGGACCCATGCCCGTGTTATATAGGAATGTGACCGGTTTTAGAATGGCTCCATAGGTGGCACCAACACTGTCCAAGTACGCCGATGCCGGGCCACTTTGGTGGGTGGGTGGCGACCTTCAATGAGCCAACGCCACCTCCCTTGGCATATAAAAGGGCCTTGAAATTTCAAGTGAAGTCATTAAATCAGACGCAAGCAAGCCACTCACAATTTTCAACGTCCTTCATCTTTAATCATTACACATCCATGTATGCACTTGATACAACCGCATTAATGACAGATGCTCGCTACCAGAGCACCGTAAGGATTCTGACTTGTCGTCCTGTGGCGTGATGCTGACACATTATTGCAGGTTGTTCCTGTCGCAGCAAAGAGAACCATGAAGTGTTCTACTTGTGGTTCTTATGATCCCCCAGCAGTACATGTGTGCCCAGGTCCAACTGGTCCATCTGCGAAATAAGCGAACAGAGCTCGTGCCGAGAGATGGTGGAAGACGCTGCTGAGGAATCGATACTTGTACCCACGTGTTGATCTGTACGCGTACCCTTGCTACAAAGCACAGGCATCCAAAGCATCCATACTTCCTGTATATCATTTGTATACGCTGTGTTAGTATGGGGAGGTTTTACGAAATCACCGGAGCAAAACCCGGAAACGAGTTCACCACTGCCAATTAGATATCCTGCTCTTTGCTCCCTCGTACTCCATGTTAGCAATTCGGTGAATTTATCAATACGTAAAGCGATCGTGCAATCGAAGCGGATCGGACGAGAATTGAGTCCGTTGGTATGATTCTAGGTGTCCGGTAAATTTTTCGCTCCAGTGACGTCAATAGAAAGGATGACAATAAAAGTCCAGAGGAAACGGGAAATATTGATGAAGTGTTAATTGATATTGATGCATGCCAGGACCTGCGGCATCATCGACGAACTCACATGTCCACCGGTGCTAATATAGACTGATGCATAAAAAACCTTCTTCCCCACCAAAAGGTAGGTCAAAGGCTTGAAGTCGTGTGTCGAAGGAGTGCTCAGGGCAGAAATTATCTGGATCAAGGAACATGGTGTGCATGATACCCCTGATGACATATCTTCCGTGAGCATCGATGGTGTCTCTGAAAGGGAAAAAAAAATCAAAACTAAGTTAAGTTAGTGAAACCCGTCGAGGTATGAGTAGGCCGCGGTTCTCATTCGTGCATCGGCTCGAATGTGGCGCACATGCCCTGGTATTTGTCCTCCTGTGTGAGAGCCCGAGTATGTGGCGTTCCTGGTACAGCTCCCGGTCATCGCAGGGTCTCGTTTACGAGCGAGCGTGTTGGTGTACGGAAGGCTTTTTTCGGGGTATTATCAGGCCCGACGACATTATCTAGCTCGGCCTGTGCCTTCCTCATGACATGAGGAAAGTGGAGCATTGCAACTATCGCGGACAACATCAAGTCAGTATAGCTTTATCGGGTATGGAGACACGCACGGAAGGTGCTCGATGTCTCTATAGTTTATTAACAAGTGACAGGCTGATCTAGTAGCCTCGAAAAGCTGACCATTTCAATTCCAGCACCAAACGAAGACGACACCGCAAAGGCAATCTCCACTTCGCCCATCCCATTCTTGGACATTTCCTCGATCTTTTGCCTTGTGAGACAATCTTGGATGGTTTGCTACGCGTGCTTTGACATATCTTACTAGTAGGAGAGGTATGTATGCATTCCGCTTCTGGCGAGCTTCAGGCTCAGTACGGAACCACTGAAGTTTACGCCAACTCCTCTTCCAGATTCGTACAGGGCACGTCCCGCTAAACAAGCATCTATTCCGAATATCAAAATCCCAAACGGCTCGATGCCTGCAATGCAACTCACACGACGAATCAGTCAAACACTTTCTCCTAGAATGCCCGAAGTACTCCCGTCAAAGAGCAGCACTACGCGCAGAAGTGGGCCCACGCGCGAACCAGCTCCAACAACTCTTCGACGACGTAAACAACATCAGACCACTGTTACGCTACATCGCACGAACAAGGAGGTTAGAGTAGGCGTTTGGGGACGTCACGCCCCCACTGCCACCCAAAAACAAAGAATAGAACGAACCCACCAAGCGCAGAGCAGCCTTGACACCCAAACCAACCCATTCTCGCCTTCAGACGGCGACTCCGTCCTCGCCCCGCCAGGACTAATAACATAGTCTCTTCGTCACCCACATAGATCAAACATTAGAGTAAATACTGACATAAGGCCTCGCCCCAACAGACAATAACCAAGGATTTTTTTTTCTAAAAAAAGTCTACGCTATAAGCACATCAGTAGTGGAGGCTGGTGGTCATGTTACCGCTCACAGGCGAGTGAAGGAGCCAGGGCCACGATACTTCCATCGGTATCATTACTAGGCGAAAGGCTAGGTGCTTGTCGAAATAAAGTCCCACGTGACCTCTCTCGGCACTAAAAATAAAGGCGCACTTACAATCCATAGCTCCCATGTTCCCACAATCCACTCGTTGATACTATTGACACGCCTACCACATGTGATCGAGGTAATGACGCTCGCTATCTGGTTATTTATGCTCTGAAGAACTAGTACCTTTGCAGGTGAGCTTCCCAGTGTTTTGTAGCAATGCGCCCAAAGAGTGTTATGTCAGGGATTGAAGAAATCACCGCTAGGGCAAAATTTTATACAGTTGTTGTACGAGTACCATTTCCGATGGCAAACATGTTGTAGGCAGCTTCAAGTGGTGAGATCTTGAGAAACTATACCGGGAAGTACTCGTTACTGTCACCAAACCTTGTCTTAAACGATTAAACTGAGACTCACGCCTCAGATCCATTCAAAACCTTCTCCGCCCCAATTCAAAACATGCCCTCGCCTATATAGTCAAGTTTCGTGGCTCTCAGCGTGGAATGCAGCACTTGCTTGTTTTACTCGTTCTCCTTCGTTGGAACTTGGAAGTGTCTCGTGGCTGCTATCGGCAAGAAGAAGACTCATAGTACCAGTCAGGGCTGGTGGTGGGCGGAATTTACGGAACATCCTGGCTACGAAAGTTCCGAACCAGCATTGATGGTGCGGCAGAAGGCAAAAGTAATCTGCACCAGATTGCTTGAACGTCACATCATTGCAGCAGAACAGGTGTGCGATGAGCGCGAGGTACAGCTGGGACTGCAGCACGAGATGCGACGACACATCATGATATGGTGGACAACAGGATCTCAACGTATCGACACCAACAACCTATGAGTAGAGTATGAAAGTACGTGAACATTGGATGTGCTTCGTTGTCTACACCTAAAAAGCACATCAAATATGCACGGTCATCATCCAAGTGCGCCAGCACGTCATCAGCATTCTCGCCATCCTTCAACGCGAGCAATGTTTTCTCCTTTGTTGCTTTGGAGTAACTTGCCAGCGCCGGAATGACAACCTGTTGTATCCAGTTCGTCCCATCTCTATACGTGTGCGGGACCTTCCACTTCAACTGAGTTTCGACATCAAAAAGGCCCTTATCAATTTGTGTTGCAACCATGCGCAGGATCGCAAGATCATTACCATCCCAGAGTTCACCACACGGCTCCGGGAGATAACCCTCAATATGAATGTCATCGTTACACACAGCCGCCAGCGCAGTTGCAATTAATTGGGCGGCCCTGGATTGTGTGGAGATGTTGGGAAGTCGTAAATAGGGCCATCCATGGGACTGCAATGTCTGTGTGCCTGCGGATATGAGATGAATGAGTCGACATTATGAAGCATAAAATGAATCCCACATACTCGAGGAAATGTCCGATGGAATATCTGTCTTATCGTAGTCAGAAGAGCTCGACATTGTTTCAGCAAGTGGGAGTCGAGTGGGAAGACTCAGAGTTTAGGGGTAGAAAAATTCTAATTAATATTTCATCACCAAAATTACCAAATCCAGACATCACATGACAGCTCGAAAACCAACGACACAATGGAAGCGAGGTATGAGATAGGTGCTTTCTGCAAGCCACTTTATCTTTCTACTCTTGCCATGTCTGACGTAGTTTGGCGACCAGAAGATGATTCGAAGATCAGACCACCACTTCAGGAGGGCCAGGTATACAGGCCAGACATACTGAACGTAATCGAAACGACCCTTGATGGACTGAGCGGGGAGCTGAGGGCTTTAAGTCTCGATATTCATGGTAATCACCTCTTAGAGCGGTCTTTTCGTCTTTTCTAAACGTATTTTATATTCACGCATTTTTGAAAGACCATCCAGAGCTGAAGTTCGAAGAAAAGTGTGTTGGATCTCATCGCACGCCATAACCACACGCAAACACTCAGAGCACTGCTACAGATATGCCCATGACGCATACACTGCGTTCATGGAAAAACACGATTTCACAGTGACCAAGAACTATCTTCTTGAGACTGCCTGGGTGGCTACCTACACCCATGGTCAGGGAGGGCGCATTTTGGGAGTCAACTCTGAGATGGATGCACTCCCTGGAATCGGGCATGCTTGCGGACATAATCTTATTGGGATATCCGGAGTAGCGGTAGCTCTTGCAGCTAAGGCCGCTATGGAGAGGCTAAACATCGATGGAAAGGTAGTTCTGCTCGGCACACCTGGTGCGTTGGTGTCTGCAAATATCTGTGATGGTGGGCTTTGTGATAACACTCGAGGCAGCCGAGGAAGGCGGTTTTGGCAAGGTCATACTATATGAAAAGGGTGCTTATGATGAGATGGATGTGTGCTTGATGTCAGTTCCTCTCCCGGTGGTGCATATCAGATGACCAGGATTACTGAACTTGCTTTGAAGGTGCCATCCCGCACCTGGCCCCCGCCACTCCATTAGTTTGTCTGGCTGCTTGGCGATCTCTCGCGTCACGGTGGAGTATCACGGCCATACGTTAGCGTCTTTCATACTCTCCATCAACTCGTAGTATTCAATCCTTCGCGTTTACAGTGCTCACGCTGGGTTAAGCCCCTGGGAGGGACAAAATGCTTTGGATGCGGCCGTCCTTGCTTATAACAACGTTTCTCTTCTTCGTCAGCAGATCAAGCCTACTCACCGTGTGCACGGTATATTCGAAGGAAAGGATTGGGCTCCAAACAGTGAGATTTTCACTCTGTTAAAACGCTCGAGAATAATTCTTAATAAATCAGTCATCCCGGACCACGCTATAATGCAGTAAGTCGATCTCATTGATCTTCCACTTTGAGCGTTCTATGACGAATACAGGTGGTTAGTCCGTGCTCCTACAACATCAGAGATGGAAGATACCAGGAAGCGTGTCATTTCCTGCTTCGAGTCAGTCTTTCACTACCGACATGTTTTTTGTGATTAAACGACATCATCTATTCGTTATAGGGCAGCTGCACTGGCAACTGGATGCAAAGTTCAAGTCACAATCGGATCGGTAGGAAACGAAATCAGGCAAAACAAAGCACTTGGTATGAAATCGCGGCATGCAGTGACTTGATACTGACCTCATATCAGGCGATGAACTTGCTGATGTTGTTCTGAAACGCTATGGTGCTATCGATTACGACTGGGGTATCAAGAGCGCTTCTACTGATTTCGTGAGTATTTCGCATATCCATCAAGTGCAACAGAGTTGATGCTTTGGACCAAAAAGGGGAACATTACATACTGTGCGTCTGACATCCACGACTGGGGGTAAGCACATACTAATGGAGTTCTTGTTCGTCAGTGATGCCTGGTCTTCACCCTGGTTTTTGTAAGTAGCGCAGGTTTCGGATGAACCATACTAATCGTTTTTAAGCCATCCCGACCATCCCAGATGGCGGGAACCATACTACAGGATTCACGGAAGCCGCACGTTCCGAAGTATCTCATGACGCCTGTTTGGTGGTTTCGAAAGCACTCGCGGCCGTAGGCATGCGAGTCTTGACTGACGAGGCGTTCCTCCAGAAAGTAGGTGTCATGTGTTTTCCAAGTAACTTTCTTTTTTGACTGCGTTTTGCAGGTCAAGGACACATTTGAGGAAGATAAAAAATTAAGAATGTAATTACTACCCTTTCATGCGCGCAGAAGAATTTACATATGTCAGAGTCAAACTTGTATTCAGTGTGTTATCCAGTATTCTGTTAACCTCGTCTCGAACCATGTGCCGGAACTGACATTGTGATCTTGAAAGCGAGCAACCACGATGGGAAGCGCCAGCTGTGTTACTCTTGAGCCTGAGTAGCAGACTTGTATTGATGGTCGTAATAGTGAACGCAGCAAAGGAAGAAAAAGAAGAATCGGATACCAATCGACCTTGCAGATTTAACGGGCCAGGACTATATCTTTAATCGACAGCATTCGATGGAGCTATAGTATAGTACACAGTGGGTGCAGGGAAGAGAGCGAAAGGATAAATTACAAACGATACAATTCATACGTGAGTAAACCTGGTCAGCTATAGAAAAGTGACATGAGGAACGCATGCCAAACGGATGTATCATGCAGCAGAGAAAGCGAGCCAGAATTCTGAACACGGAGTCGGTTTGCATCAAATCGAACCGGAGGATGCCATCAAGGAGCGCGAAGGAGAGGGAGACAAGTTTTTGCGTTTGTCTGTATCGTTAGCCTCGTGTGCAATGAGGACACCAGACTCATCTAAATCGTCACTGCCTTCAGGTTTCACACTGATAGAAGTGAAGTGTTGTTTTGTTTTCTGGGCCCATTCTGCGATTCCAAAGCGCTCATGAATTTGGAGGTGTTGGACGAGACAGAAGGTAAGGTATGCCATTGCGCCGAACGTGGTGACGACGAATGAGAAGAATAGTAGTCCTCCTAGTACCAAGAGGAGAACCGTGGCTGTGGGAAGGTCAGCGACCCGTCGTAACTTGGGAACGATGTGCGTACCGAACATAGTTTCCAATGCGACGACAGCCGCGAACGCGAATGCAAGAGCAATAGACATGGAGCCGCAAAGCGCAAAGATGGACAAGCCTCTGAAATCTCTTTGAATGCTGACATATCTCGAACAAGCAGTCGACGCACATGAACGACAGTATTGGCAAGATACTCAAAACAGCGAAGAGGGTCAGAGTTATCGTGACCCATGTCTGATAAAAAGATTGAATCCCACTCATAATAAGATCTCCCGAATGTATGACGCACCATTGTCAACGGCTGACCCTGGAAGTATCTGGAAATTTTGTCTAATGCAGGACGCGCATACTTGCGCTCGATGCTGCACAAAACTTTATCAGTGGAAACTAGAAATAACAGTGAAACGCAACGTTACATATCAGTGTACGCTTGGACGACAAGAGTGCTTTTTTCGAGGTAAGAAGCAAGTTCATCCAAGCCTGCAGTTAATGAGTTTACGCCTGGGTTATCATCCATGTCCTGATATCTGTTAGAGAGACTGAGTCCTGACGTTGTGGAAACGAACCAATTGCAAGAGCGACTCGGGGCGTTAAGCGCCGACTCCTGAACAACATAATATGAGCCACGTGGCTGATTGCACCCGGTCCTAAGACTTCATCTACTAGCATCCTCCAGTCCACACCATGAGCGGGCGAAAACTAGTACTCAACATTCAACGTTCAACCCCGAAGAGCAATAACTTCACCAAGCTGCGCTTTCCAGCTCGGAAAAGGCGAGCTCAACTCTACCGATCACCCATAACTTCAAGTACCGCATGCTCAAAGTCCTGTCCAACGCAGCAGGCGTCATCTCCTGCCGAGCTGTAATGAAAAAGGAGATCAAAGTATGTGTGTATGTCACATCTCCATCGCATTTCCCCTGAAAACCCCTTGATGTGCAGAACACAGGAAGAAAGATATGAGCGGTGAAGAAGCCATGGTGCTCAGTCATATTCAAGCTTCAGCAAACGAAGGTGAGTTGTTACGCATCGAATCAAACAGTGAGACTTATGTAACGCACAGGCATCTGGACAAAACATCTAAAAGCCAAAATGGAACTGCACCAAACCAGCATCGATAGATACCTCGAATTACTAGTTCAGAAGCAACTCGTGAAAGCCGTCAGGGTGCGTTCTACCATTCAAAGTTCTTAGCGCATTTCCTCATATGCTTGCACTATGCTACGCTAGCACTAAGGCCGCAAGATCTACAAGCTTACGCACCTATAACCTTTAGTCGAGCTTACGGATGGACCATGGTACACTGACAACGAACACGACACGCAATTATCAAGCTGCTCTCAACTGCATGTATGCATTACATCCGTGACCATGTACTTCCCTTTCCTTCTCCTACAATTCAAACTCACAGTATTCTTTTCCGGTAGTCCTTCCCAAAACAAAGCTCCAAAGCTTCTTCCCAAAACGAATGCAAACTCTACTCCATTAGCGGTGCGCCCTCCTATCTATCTGCCCAGCACATCCAGCGTTTTTTGACTAAGAAAGAGATCACAGAGACTCGGTTGGACATTGAGCGTGTTGAGATGCTTTTGAGGGAGCTGGAGTTGGATGGGAAGATTGAAAAGGTCAGTTGCTTACTTCACTTCATTGCTTTCGTTGTATGATGGGTTGATTGATTGGTTTATAGTTACCTGCGTTCACAGCATCCGCTTGGGATGCTACAGTCGACTCTGACAATCCAGCCTCCGACCCAGCCACTCGCAAAAAGGGTAAGCTCGGCTTGTTCAAAAAGCAAAAGTAAAGTAAAACTAGGCCCAAAACACAAAAACGGCGGCATACGGCGGCAAACAGTCCCAGCGACACTGACGAGTCTGAGGAAGAGAAACCAAGGGAAGAAGGAGGAGCGCAAAGTAAAGATAAAATAAAAAGAAATGGAAGAGCCAGGGACAAGAGAACGAGAGCGGGAGCGAGGGTCGTCATTCAAAATCGAAATTGAGATCGAAGTCGAAGAAGATGAAAACGAAGACAAAGAAGAAGCCATGCTCAAGTTCAAAACGCATCAAATTCGAGTCTCCGGAGGCAGATGTCAATGTCAACGTTGAAGGAGCCTCTGTCTACCGAGCTGTTCGCCAACAACGAGTAGCGCCAGGATGGTCCAAAGCTCCATGCGGTAGATGTCCAGTATTCAACTTCTGTCGCGACAAGGGGCCTACGAACCCGCAAGAGTGCGTGTATTACGAGGAGTGGTTGAATTTCAAGAGGCGCCAGGGGTTGTGAAAGCAGAGGTGTGACAGTTTTCATTCTTTGCTACGATGACAATCAAGTATACTGGTATCAAATTAGCGATGTCAAAACCTCATCTTCCGCAGAGAACCTGTTACTGACTATAGCATGTCAGTCATGACTAGGCGGCCTACCGATGATTTCTACCGTTTTCTATGGATACTTTCGACAAAATAAATATAACCGCGACTTGGATAGAATATATGCTGAAGCGGTCAGAGTATGCTTACTAATTGTTGATAAGCCACCTTAGCTTAAACAACCGAACTCGACAAGCCGTCGTAGCACAATGGTAGTGCGTTGCCTTCCTAAGGCAAAGGTTGCGGGTTCGATCCCCGTCGTCGGTAGTCGGTGCACTACGAGCGGTTAATTTTTGTTGGTTAGGACTAGACAACGGTTCTTTTTAAACCTCGTTCTCAATTTCTCATCATATCGGTTTATGAACTTGGAGGACACTGCCCCGCAGACCTGATAATTTTGAACATTCTGGCACTTTTACTTACACAAATACCTTAGGAGTCCATCTCCAAAGATACTCTCATTCCCCATTCACGTCCTACTAAGTCCTTCACAGCGCAGAACTTCTCCTGGAGAAAGGATACAAAGTCCATGGTATAATCCGTTGTTCAACACAGGTTGTTGTCTAGAGTCTTTGTACGCGGACTATGGCAACGTGAACGTATGTACCCCTACCATCGTCTAACCCACCATGACACTCTCCAGGCCCCAACTAATTCAAGTTCCACTACGATGATCTCCCCGAAAGCACCAACCTCGTCTACATTCTCGCTCAAGTCCTCCCTTTCGAGATCTACAACCTAGTAGGCGCATGATCCCACGTCAAAGTCTCTTTTGACATGTCAGAATACACAACCGACATCAATGGGCTCGGTACCCTCCACCTCTTCGACGCAATTTGTACGGCCGGGCTCGAGAAACACGCCAGGTTCTACCAAGCATCCAGTTCAAAGCTCTATAGAGAGGTAGTCGAGACGCCCCAGGGCGAGACCACCCCGTTCCATTCTCGCAGTTTGCACGGTGTCGCCAAGCTTTATGCATATTGGATCATGGCAAACTACCGTGACTCGTGAGGCATACGGCATGTATGAGTGTACCGGAATCTTGTTCGACCATGAGAGTCCAAGGCGAGGGAGGAATTGTTACTAGGAAGATCTCCAGGGCTGTTCAAGTTGAGTGCTGATATCAGCGCCGGCAAACAGCGCTGTTTGTACCTCAGTAACATCGGTGCGCAGCGAGATTGGGAACGTGGTACAAGCGTGTCTTTCATTCTCTTCAGCTAAACAAAGATGTGGACTACGTCAAGGGCATGTGGCGCATGTTCCAACAACCCACCCCTGTCCTCGTGACGGGAGAGGCTTACCCTGTGAGAGAATTTGTGGAAAAGGCCTTTGCAATGACGATAAGGTACCCGTCTCCTTAAGCTTCCTCAGGTACACAGATCATTTTCTGATGTCTGACACAATCACACTATCACCCGATGCATAGTATCGCCGTTTTTGAATTTGAGTGCTCGGAAGGAACCGGCACCACACGTCTAGTTTATGGTTGCTTTCCCGCCCGGACCGTTGGACTGGCGCGGCTGGTAATGCTAGCTATGGCCGCACCCTCATAGAGGAATGGTCTATGCTACCTACGACGATTGATATCGAGGCCTCAGTGTTATCCTCTGAATCCTACACACAATTGTTACCCCTTTTTAGATTCCTGTGTCGAATGGGCATTGCTATGTATCCCAGATGATATCTGGCAGACAATCAATACATCTAATTCCTCGCAGTAAAACCTTCTTGTCTCATAGTCTCGTACCCTCGCTCATATACTCCTCAGTCGATCCTGCAGCCTTGAGGAAGAGCGATTCATCAGGTGCTTCTGCGCCTTTCAGTTCTGTACACTTGAAGTAGCTCTTAATCACGTGGGATTCATGAACCTGTGGTGCTAGAGTAGTTCGGGGATATGGTCTTTTACAGTATCGTGCACCTCAGCAATCTCCCTAACCTTGTTCAAGATGTCCGGCTCACTAGTGCGACTTGCCTCTCCCCAGAAGATCTTGGCCACCATCCCATCCTGGAAGTCGCGGTATTTCTTCGTGAGCGTTCTGCTGGTGACAGCAACCACATTAATGGCCCGTCCTTGCAGTCCGTAGTGAGTCACTCTTTCGTCGTCACCGGTGTGAAGCAGCAGATCCACCATTCCAAGATCTTCATCTCTGATGTTGAATTCATGGCATAGTTTCCCCTCAACTTGAACTGGGAGGAAGTCTTTGTTTCGCCCCTAATCGTGAAGGTCGAATCGTTGTAGCATACAATAACACCATGAATCGCGGGAGATCTTGGATGAAGTTTATGCCTGAGCATTGAATGATGCCGGCCGCAAACATTTCTGTGGCGTACAGACCCGTCTGGACGGTCACATCTAGATCCGCCTCCGCGTCAGCGTCTGCATCGCTGGGGTTCATCTTGGATTTTTTCGCGGCGGGTTCCAAAGTGTCCGCGGCCTTGCCCTTGGAACTGGACCTGCCCTTGGAAGGCTGCGCAGCAGTGAGGCCAGAAGATGGCACTACAGCTTAGCCGATTTAATTTGATCGCAGAATCTTAAATAACGTGCAGTGTCGGATGCAGGTTCTGTTGCTGGGATCTGCAAAGGGCCTCGTACCGGGACTTCAGCCTGAAGATGATCCACCGGCAGATATTCCGGCTTGATAGGGACATAGTCTGTCACTGTATACGAAGAGGGCGGTGGTTCATCCTCCCTGGCGTCTTTCTCTTGAACTCGGTGCAAGCTAGAACATTTTTAATTTTTGGTTTTGTCGTTGCATTCGTGTCCATGAGCCTTGAGTTTCTTCTTGCGCTTTTCGTCATTCTTTTCATCGTTCTTCCCGTCGTCCTTCTCTACCGACTCTTTGTTCTTCTGTTTTCCCTTCTTGCCGCCCATCTCATCCTGGAAGGGAGCGCATGCGCTGTCCAAATGAAGAATCACGAGGTCAGGCTTCCGAGTTGATTTCTTGGTCTGATGAGTTTGGTGCATGGGCATATCGTTCTGCTGGCAGATCATGTCCACGGCGGGGACAGGAGCACCCATCCCGTCAACCTTGATCTCTTCAAGACACGCGAGAGCGATGTTAGTGGTTCTTATGAAAGGGCCGTAGAAGCTGTTTTCTACTCCAGGACCCATGCTTGCAGTCGTTGTGAGCACGAAAATGTCCGATCGTCGAGCTCAAAACAAGCACTCACTATTCGTTGAGGGCTATCTCGACGTCAAAAGGAAGGCCTGCCCATTACAAACAGGTAGGACCGCCTTGAGGCACTTTTGCAGAAACTCGGGCTGAGCAGTCTCGGGAGCGGAAGAAGCGCGCTGCAGGAGGGCTTGCAGCATGGCATCTGCCTTGCACTCCTTAACCTGCTCAATATCGCGTTGAATCCATGGGCGGAGTTTCTTAACCCTTGATGGAATGTCAGGTGTTACTCGATAAAAACAGAAAAGGTGCGCACTGGACACCGACCAGGCCGATGTTCTCACTGATGACGGAAGCCCCATGGCTCTGATGCATTGGCGCGTGGAGGAGTAGACGATGTACCAGTCTCGCCTGCAGGGGACATGGCGCTAGGTGCTCAATGATTGCGTTGATTGAGTGTTGCTAGCAGAATTGGCGAGGAGGAAAAACTAAGAACACAACAGAAACGACTGCCTGTCTTACATCCGGTCGACCAGTGTGGTGTAAATATGGTGGACCTTCGATAAATCTGATGTGTCAGATGTGGCCTACAGTTCGACTCCGACAACGCGTTCCCATCAATACGCGCACGTGACTCTGACTTATTGAGTGAAGTCAGTGAATATTCCTGAAACTTAAGTATCATATGATATAGTAGCACTAAGATTCATCTATACTCTAGTACTCTGAATAAGATCGATAGCAGTGCGCCAGCTAGTTCAAGGGACTCCGCATCATTCTAACTTCAATCATGATACTCGCTCCGCCGAGTCCCTAAGAACGTCTTCTAAGAATCGATTCATATTCTCAGAGTAGAACGGAGTCCGACGCTCGCGCCATGATGGTCCACAAAAGAAGACACGGCTCAGCCACCATTCTCGTGATCCGACACAATTGTCGTTCCCTTTTAGATCCCTGTGCTGCGGCGCCATGTTACTCTTAATGAACATTCCTGTGTATCCTAGGTGATATCGAACAATCAATACATCTGATCGATATCCCTTGTAGGAAAACCTTCTTGTCTCAGCATCTCGTACCCTCGCTATACTCAGGACCCTGAGGAAGAGCAATCCATCAGATGCTTCTGCGCCCTCGAGTTCTGTACCCTCGAAGTAGTCCTTGGTCCACCCAAGAGTCGGCGCAAAGTCCAAGTCTGTTTAACTGGGTCCGACTCAGGAAAACGTCAGCTTACTTATTTTGCATCTGGGCCACCATACAAGCTTGGGCCTGCGAAAAGCCTGGAGGTCAGGCAAAAGGGACATGGCTGTTTCCCGGATGAAAGCGTTACTAGGATAAAAAATGGGTATTATATTCGGAACACATAAAGTAGGGGTATATATTCCAGTCCATAAATTAAAAGAAACACAAAAAAGTCCATTGTCGAACACACGACGCGCGAGAAACAGCAAAACGACAAAGCTTGAAACAACAGGAGAAACAGTCTTCCACGACTGAACACAAGAAGTGAAATCAAGAAGGGAAGCGGAAGGATAGATGTGCGAAGCCATGCACTAGTTTTTCATCCTGCGGCGCGTTAACGCAGCACAGGGATTTTCGAATTTTCTTGGGCAAGGGTCGAAAGGGCGAGTAGGGAGGGAAATAGGGACCCATGCCAAAGGATGCCGAGGTCGAAGAAGGTAGAGATGTAAAACGAACGACCTGGCGAGAAAAAACACAGCAACCACTCTACAGAAAAGTCACAACTCAACACCTAAACAGGCAGCGTACGGGGACAAGAAAATTGGATGATGAAGAATGCCCCGGGCCAAATGTGGAAGACAGTATTCGCTGAAGTGGTGTCGCGCTTGATGAACCAGCAGCACTCGGCGCTAAGGACGAATTAGGATGTACGAGAAAGAGAATATTGAGATGCTGTGCAGACAAGAGAACAGGGAAGAAAGCAGGTGAAAGATATAAAGCAGGGGTATAGGAAGCAGAACAGGCACCGGTTGCAGATCCGAGAGCTTCAAGGGGAATAGGGCCTAACCAGGGCAGGAGAAGGGTTCAGGACAACAACCAGCAGCAAAAGAGGGAAGGGCCTCGAGGGTACGGCGACAGCACCTAGGCAGTGAGGTCAAGGGTCTTACGTTCATCTCCGACCATCACATGAGCACTAGGAATAGGATGCCAGAGGCGACTGATCCATCGCTTGAAGCCCGAGCTTCGAGATGGGGAGCCAATTCCTTTCGGTGATAGATGCGTGGGAGATGCAACAAGGGTCGCGTTAGGCGATGGAGTAGCGGGAGAAGGCGACAGGGTGACGTGTAAACTCTTTCGCCCCGGACAAGGCCTCTCTCTTCGGTCGACGCGGCGGATGAAAGACTCAAGGCTTCGCACAGGAACTGGACCAGAATAATTGTCGCATGGCTGAGGTTGTGGAACACCTTCGCCCAGAGGTGTATTACGACGCACGAAATGCCGAAACGACCAGTTCGATGAAGCACGCGAGATCTCAGCAGCCCCAGAAGCCCAATTAGCACGTATTTCGTCGCCGTCCACCAACGTAGTCCCAGTCGTTGCACAGGCAGGACCAGTGGTTTGCTGTTCCTTCTTTTCCGGTGCCGGTGGGCGGGATCGGAAGAGCTTGGCAGCGATTTTCTGAAGAACTTGAATGCCATTCTTACCCTTGATTCTCCACAAGGCTTGAGCGCGGTGACGCTCGCGCTTCAAAACTGGGGAAATGAAATTGAAGTTGGGCAGCGGGTCGTTCGATGGTTCACATTGGCCAAGCGACATGGGAACTGTAGATGGCGTATCTTTCTCTTCAACCACGGGAATGCAAAGCAGAGGAAGGGTCCGTTTCTCGACTTTCTTCCAGTCACTAAAACCATCTGAGCACAGAAATCGAATGATCAGAGTGGACTCTTACATCGACGCAAAGAATGGGTGGTTAAGCATAGCCTCGTACAATGGCCTACTTTTGACATCCTTCTGAAGCATCTGTGCAAACGTCAATAACGCTGAATGGACAAACACAGTGAGACGTACGTTATGTAGGAGATCCTGAGCCTCATGATGGAAATCGTTAACAAAGAAAGGCTCAAACCCAACAATGCCATCGGCTATGTGAAGGCCGTCAACTGTGGCCCAGGGAGTCTAAACCAAAGTAAGCAATGATTCATCAGAAAATTCAAGACTTACCCTTCCAGTGAGCATCTCATACAACATGACACCCACCGCCCAGAAGTCGATTGCAAAACCATACTTGGTACCTAGGATAAGTTCAGGCGCCATGTACTCTGCGGTACCGCAGAGTGAACTCGCGAGGTAGGGTGCTTGCGATAGGCTAGTGAAAGTCCCCGTGGGATTGTAGGGAGAAAACGATTTCGGATCGTCGAGCGTGAAGACCTTGGCTAATCCTAGATCTGCGATTACGAGATGACCATGGGAGTCGATAAGGATATTTGAAGGTTTGATATCCCTGTGGATGACTCCTTGACAGTGGAGATGATAAACACCAACAAGCTATTTTGGTCAGAATGCAGATCACAACTATAGAAAGAACACTCACGAGTTCTGCTGTGTAGAACCTTGCTTGTTCGACTGGAAGAATCCGGCGCGGATAAGTGCGAATAACGTCATGGAGATCGCCTCCTGGATAGAATGCCTGTCATAGAGCGTAAGCCAATCCAACTACGCATGTGCGGTCACTCACAAGAGCTAGATAGAGGCACCGTGCGTCCTGAAAGCCTGCCTCGACTTGCATACAATGAGCATCACCTATGACCCGCTTCAGAGCATCCAGCTCAACTCGAAATTGCTGGAGATCGCATAAAGCCGCGCCCTGCCTCCTGATGACTTTCAACGCCATGGTCTTGTTCGTAATCTTGTCTTCGACACGGTAAACGACGCCATTTGCGCCAGCACCGAGCCTTGCATGGACGATAAAGTCACTGAGGCTTGTTTCATTCTTGAAATGGGATCGTGGTACAACTCCATTGGCGGAGCCCGTCAAGGCATCGAGAACTGTTGTACCGAACATGTCTTGATTGAATGGCACCATGCGATTAGTAGCATGAATAGGACTGAGGATGTCCATTGCCTATGGCACCCCGTAAATAAGCACCTCTGAACGTCATGAAGTCTTACGTACTTTGCGGTCTCTGGCAAAGAACGCCTCGATGAAGTCCAAGACAAATACTCTTCTCCTGATATCAAGCACATCTGGATCGTGGTACGCATAGTCAAGCCCTTCAAGCGCCTCAGTCTCTCCCACGGTGGAATCCGTGGAGGTGAGGACAGGCGGAAGGATACCAGTCGCAGAGATCATGATACTCGCGCTAGAGGGCCACGCGACGATGGCAACAGCGTGACCGCCAGACGATGCGGGAGTAGAAACAGGCACGTCATATTTAGGTACCGGGACGCGGTTGACCTTATTGAAGGCAAAGGAGTTCTTGGTTGACTTGATGCTATTCCATGCCTTGGACAGGGACTTGGCCTTGAAAGCGTCAGAATGGATGATGAGAACGAATGAGACGGATACTTACTGGCTTGGTGATCAGGCGTTCACCGGCTCGTCCCTCGTAAAATAGTTGAAGAGCAACCATATTGCGAACTTGATGTGAATAAAGAGTGTCAAATGTAGAAAGAACGTCGGAAATGCAGTCGGTGGTGAAGATGGCGGATGAAGAACTTCATCGACAGAAAGCGGTCTTTTATTGATGTCTGCCCCAGGCTGAATTGCGACGAGTACCTTGAGAGCAACAGTCAAAAAAAGTAATTTGGATTCAGACTGCTTGGCTGGACTCAAAGTTGCTTAACAGGATAAAAGAGAGATTAAACTTACCACAGCAATGGATGGTGTCGTTGAAGTCATGGTGTATGACCGGTTTAAGACATGCACTTGAACATTCTGCTCTAGACCGAGCATCCCGCAGGGAACGATGACATTGAGGATACAATGCAGAGCAGAGGGAATAAGTAATATAGATGAAGCTGGTTGCATGTTCAGCCAGAATTGTCCTTGCACCTCGAATATCTTGTCGACAGTCCTAGTTAGTAGACCATCAAAGTATGAAATGACTTGGAAGACCAGCCATAGCAACGCTGCATTATCTGAATCATGCCGCGTCAATACGTGCACGCGACACGATTGTCTGGTTGAGAATCAGCCGATCAGTATCCCCAAAGAATTTTGGGAAATGACCTGCCTGCTAAGCTGGTAGTACCACTGCCAGCGAGTATTACGTAGATCGTGCATACATCGAGAGCGACTCCCTGTGAGGGACAATTGGGTACAAGACTATCACACTTATTTGTTAACAAACCTCATGGCAGAGATATTGAGTAGCACTTCTAGCGGCTGCAGTGGCGGCGGCGGCTGGCAGGAGACACTGTCAAATTAAGTGCTCAACGTGATGAATGATGTAGTAGTCAACCCTTAACCGGCTTAACCAAATAATTGATCTGCTTACATAATAGTCATCGAAACTTTTTTGCGGTCCCATCAAAGTCCCACTACTACAGCTGCTCTTGAGAGAAAAGTCCTCAGCAATGGCGACGCTAGTTACGCTACCTTCCCTGCCTCCAGCCTGGTCCCCACCCTCGGAACCAGCCTCCTCTATCTCTCGTGAGTCTCTCTCGTGATTGTCTCATTCGACAACATATCCTCATTCACACAGCCCTTGTCCAGCGTAGGCTCATTCCTGCGGGCGCAGCCTACCTGGCTCACATAAAACGCACACTCAACAACCATACCTTTGATGAGTATGACAAACAGCTCGAAGAGGAGCGGAAGCGCCTCGAGTTGCTTAACGCTGATGGCCTGAACGGGGAGGATGACCTTGGCGTCGGAGATGAGGAAGAATCTCCTGAACTCCTTCTGCTTGATGCAAAGGAGTGGAAGGTGTGCATATCGGGTCTTGTTTGCTACGATCTAAACTCTATATATCATTTGTAGAAACAAGACCACTATCAGGTCCTCGGATTGTCACACCTGCGATACAAGGCGACGCCCGAGCAAATAAAGATTGCCCGTATGTGGCGATGTTAGCATCCTCGGACTTTCTGACGTATCGCTACTCCACAGATCGCAAGAAAGTTCTTAAACACCATCCAGACAAGAAAGCCGGTGCATCGCACACCACGAACGATGATGCGTTCTTCAAGTGCATACAAAAAGCAAATGAAGTTCTCACGAATTCTGAGCGGCGGCGCCAATTCGACTCTGTCGACCCCATCTGCTTATCCCTAGAAGAGGATGATCCTTCTGCCTCTGACTTCAAAGGCCGAGAAAAAGACACTGCGTTCTTTTTCAAAACATTCGCACCTATCTTCGAGAGGGAGGCACGATTCAGCAAGAAAATACCCGTTCCAATGTTAGGCGAGAACGACGACTCAAAAGAGAACGTGCATGCCTTCTATGATTTCTGGTACAACTTTGACAGCTGGCGATCATTTGAATATCTGGACAAGGAGGTGAATGAAGGTAGCGATAAGTAAGTGATAGGAGCCACGGGGCCGTGCCTTTTCAGCTTATGAACTTCTCCCGCAGTCGTGATGATAAAAGGTACACCGAGAAAAAGAACAAGTCTGAGCGCGCTCGTCGAAAGAAAGATGATATTACTCGTCTGCGTAATCTCGTGGACCTTACTCTTGGTCTTGACCCTCGAATCAAGCGGATCAAACAGGAAGAAAAGGAGGCTCGGGAGGCGAAGAAGAAAACCAAGGGCGGAATGAGCGCTGCTGAACAGAAGGCTAAAGCAGAAGAAGATAAGCGTAAAGCTGAGGAAGAAGCTCAGAGGAAGGAGGAGGAAGAGAAGGTAGCGCGGGCAGAGGCCAAAAAAGCAAAAACTGCGGCAGCTAATGCAGCTAAAAAGGCAAGAAGACAGCAGCGCGCCGCGGACACCGATGAGGCTGCGCCGTCATAAAATTATCCAGGTAGTTGTCTCATCCTGATACCATGCACCTTCATACTCTCACCACTGCGGAATGTCATAAGCATTGAGACCGCATTTGCATTTTGGAAATTCTGCATGTAAACAACGTTCTTCTTTGACAACAGGCTTCGAAGATGTAATATACTTACATGTACCTGTAAATGGGAGTTCAGGAAGTGCAAAGAAGGTAGGTAATATCCGATGGGTGAAATTACGGGTGTCACAGTTTTCTATCCCAGCTCGCTGGAATGAGCCGTGGCCACCACCCCTGGCACGCGCCCAAAGCACAACAAGGAGAAACATTACTGCAAGGCAAATAGAACCATCGCGAGGATGGCAGATTGTGATAGATTGGAAACTCGCGGACAGGGTGGCAGTGACGTTAACGTGAGTCAAGTATCGGACCATTGTCTCGATCCGTGACGAAGGAGTGAGATGATTGATCTAGTCGTGATTGACATGATTCAAGACAAGACCGCCGATCAGAATTGATGAAGATCAGCTCGCGTATCACCGAGTCGCGTCTTCAAGTGTGGATACATATCAGAACATAGAAGCTTAAGACTTGCCATCTGGAAACCGCGCGCTCGATTACAAGTGTTCCAGGAGATTGTTCTTGGGAGATACCGGCTCCAACTTGAAGGTAAGATGTGAACGTTTAGCAACGTTTTGAACACGAATAACATTGGGCACGGGAATGCCACGGAATTCTAGTTCAAAGTTTCAGCGGTTGTCAGAGGAAAACCAAAATACAGCAACAACCGGTCCTGTAGCAGAAAGAGCTCAATCAGCGGAGACCATAACTTGGTGCATGCTAGTTCATGTTTGGTCGTTTATTGTTCTTTGTTTGGATTTCGTGGCAAAGAAGAGATGCGAGTAGGTCGATTAAAGGATGGGCACTCCGGCCCTGTCAACCTTCGTCAACAGTCTTTTTCTTCCTATTTTATGGTCCTTAAAGACCCTCTTGCCTTCGTACCGATGTTTCTCATATCCCGGTAACCTACACCTTCACGTCGCGGGCGGTGAAGTACCACCATTTTGTCCGGGACGGTACTACTCCTTGTATTTTTTTTTCTTACCAATATCATCTACAAACATGGTAGGAGACCCAACCAATCGTGTTTATCGCCATGTCTTCTAATCCATCTATCATTCAGGTTCTCGTCAGTGATAAGAAATATGCGTGGTATGTCTTTCATTACGTCCTAGCCCCATCATTCGTCCTCAGATGCACACTCTCCAGTGAAACGTGCATAAAGGGGCATCGCTCATCCGCATGTAAACACACGGATCGCCCCCTTTTCGAAATTAAGAAAAAAGGTCGTCCAGTCACTCAGTGTGAGCACTGTAGAGAACTACGAAAAACAAAACAAGTACACGTCAAATGTTCATGCGGATCTCAAGATCAAGGCGCCACTGGCGCCCACGAGGCGTCCCACAGCAAGAAGGGTACGCCTCATTTGTTGCTGAAATTAATCTGTCTTATCTTTAAGGCCCCTTCTTTTTATCTAGGGACGCCGAAGTTACCGGCTACTGCTGCGTTTCCTCATGGCCTTCCGGAGGCCCTTGAAACGCTAGCTACATTGCTGCCGGCATCGGACGACTCAGACCATAGCGGTAGGCCCGAAGCGCCATATTTTTCTCGTCATCATCTTCAGTATTGACTTTAAATAAGGTGAAACTTCTCCAACTGGCTGTAGATGTAGCTCCGGTGGCCCCTGCAATTGCTGTATCCCTCGCAAGCCCGCGACACGCCGTCGCTTCTCTGGTGCAGAGCCTCCTAAACGAGACAAGCTTCATTCAGACTCCTCAAAGCACCACGAATCCCTATCTCCTCCTCTTTCATCTCACGTTCTAGCGCGCATTGCTGAGCTCCGTCCAGTACTTCCAAAACCGGCTCACAGGCAACACCCTCTCGATGGCTCCTTACATAATCCATCTTCGAGTGTCCCTCACGGTCATAACATCCGCCATCATAACTATGACTTCAGCCCTTACGGTCGCGCTTACGGGTACACTCATTCAGATCACATTCATGATCAAAAGGGGTCGTCATTGACCAGTGATCCCCGCACGTTCGCTGGACGCTCTGTCCAATCCCCACAGCAAACACTAGGAAGTCAGCCTGTACCAGATGCCTGGTCGCCTGCTGAGGTCTTCCCCTCTGTCTGTGCCTGTGGTGACTCATGCATGTGTCCTGGATGTACCTTGCATAACAATCCACCTATCACCGGTGGTGCTACCTTTGCCTCCTGCAGCAATCCATCCTCCTGCGCCTTTTGTCTCGATTGTACCATACTGTCCATACCAGCAAGCAATCCGCCTCCTAACATCGACTCGTCCTCTGATCCATCACAATCACAAGAATTTGATGAATGGCTCAGACAGGTCGCACTTAGCCCGGGCGTCTCAAATTCGCAATCGAACTTCAACCCATATGAACTGACTACGCCTCAAACACAATCCTATCAAAGCGGAAGACCACGGATACCCGAAACTCCGTCTCCGCCGGTGGGGTGCTGCGGTGGGCGGTGTAAATGTTCTCGTAATTGTGCTTGCCTTCCAGACTGCTGTGGGTGCTGTCAAGGTTGTCAGTGTGATAATCACTGTAATGATGCGCGGTCCCGAACGACGTTCGCGGTATCCGGTGAACGGGGTTCATGTTGCAGAAAGGCTGATCCAAATACGAACGCTCTTTCAGCTGGGAGGCGCCTTCCTGAGTTCATGGCTATGACGAATATCCGTGACCAGTTGTCTGCCTCCGGGGTGGGCGCTGGCAGTCAAGGGTACTATGGTCAGCAGGGAGCATTTGTGGATTACTCCGAGGCTCCGAGTCGGTCGTCCTCTGGTTCATCCTTGGCAAGTCGTGCGCCAACGAGACCTCCATCCGGCCTGGTGAGTACCCGAGGTTGTCCGTTCCAAACTACGACTAATCTGCAGTGCTCACGATCCTATAGGGCTCTAGGCTGCTGGGGCAGAGTGGCCCTTCTAGTAGTACTAGATCGCCGCCGGCACACGTCGTACCGTCCGGGAGTACCCGTGGTTTTGCTACCTATGCAGAGTCCGAAAGGGCTCGTGGGGCTGCGCCGTACTCGAGCTATAACCCGTCGCTGGATGCAATGCGCTTCGACTAGGGAGGTCTGCCACCGAGTGGATTTGATGTTATTGTCCTCCTTTCATTTTTACGTTGTACTTTTCAACTTCTTGTGGCTCACTGGTTTACTGATGGACATGCAGTGGCCGCGATTGCCCCTTATCTATATTTTCTTCCCGCTATGTTTTTTGCCTTTTCTCGACACTACGTCTCGCTCAATGGACACGATAGAGATCATCTAAAACGTCTACTGAGCTTTTTTTTCATTACCATACATAAATTTCCATGTACGTTGCTACAAATTTTACAATTCTCCATCATTAGCCGCGCGGTTTGTACGACTGCGTTCATTCTGACCAACGTCTCCAAGATCAAGTTTATTTTCATTAAAGTCAGCATAAAACATCCATTAATTCCATCTGGTCCTCCTGAGAATGGGTCAAGACATTTTCCTTGTCCTGATTAGTATGGCTCTCCGCTTCTGAAGACTGCAACTGCTCCAATAACACACGATTATGGTTCTCTACATCGATCTGATATGAAAAGTCAGACAAGTATTTTGGCATGCGAACTATATTTGACATGCCTTGATCGGCGGAGGCCACTGGAGATCCAGTAGCTCGGTGCCTTCTGGCAACATTTTGGAATACAAGAGAAGGTAAGGCCCTGCACCGAGATGCAGGCCCACCGAGTCCTCCAAAACATTTACCTCGGATACCTTTGGTGTGTGTGAACTTCACGACAGGTACATCATCAAGGTCTCGCATACCTGGCTGATGGATGTATCCTCTATCCTCCACCATACACCTTTCTCTTGTACATAGGAATAGAGGTGCTTCCTGCCATACAATCCGTCGTGGACTAGTACTGCACGGAGATCATACTACCGACGGAATAAGAAACTGTCCTGGCTAGGATACGATGTGAGATAGGTGACTTACTCTGACGCGTTGGAGCTCAGGGCAATCCAGGAGCGTTCCAGCTTGGTCACGCATCTTTGCAATGTTGATATCCGAGACTATGAGGGATGTGGACAGTCAGCAGCCTGCCAAGCAAAAGTACCTGCATGCTACCTTGAATTTCCTTCTCTACCTGAGCATAAATGCCCTTTAGTTTGTTAGCCATAATTTGGGTGACACGAGCACGCTCGTCGTCGCCCTTCGCATCTGCCACATTCTCGTAATAATATATCGACGACCGCAGGTCCGTTAGGGTGTCTTTGTCCTGGGAACCAGTCCAGGTCAGTGCATGGGGCGACACAGCGAGCAGCGAAGGACGAACATTGAAGTGGGTCAAAGACTTGTTATGCAAAACCAGCTTTTGAATTTCTGCATGAAGGTCCCGCTGCTGCGCCCTCTTACTCTCTGCAAGCTCGATATTTTCCTTGAGGAACTGGTCGAGATAGATGTGCTTCGGGTATTTAAACGACTTGCGCTCGCCCGTAACGGTGCCCGAGCGCGCGAGATGAAACGCAATCACCTCCGAGGGCTCGAAGATAACTTGGCGTTTAATATGATCATCCTTATTATTTGAAAGCTGCGCGGAAAGGCGACCGACGAGGTCATTCGTGTCACTCCGTCCAAGGGCTTCGACACGGACGATGGAAGCATCTTGCAGGAGCTCTCCGGGTTCGTCATCGAAATTGCTGTTCCCATATTGGAACTGCATGATGCGCTGTCTACGCATTATATGTAAGTGAGATAGAGCAGAGCAGTCGATGCCACGTAGTACTTTGCCTGTCCGGTACGAATGAATTCATGAGCGAACACTTTGTCGAGGGCGCCGGCTACCTTTTCGAAGAATCCTAGTTCTCTATTAGTTATAACGCATACACCCAGTTCAAAGAAACGCACGTTGAGATAGCTCGCCTGGCGGTTGTGCAGGGTTCGACCAGGGCTCAGGCTTGAACCCCTCCAGCACCTCATGAGCGTCCAGGTCCACAAGCTTTGCAAGATCCATATTGGTGAATGTTTCGACGAGCTTCCACATGAGGAGCTCTTAAATACTATCAGCAGCGATTGTAGAACAACACAAAACAGTTACCTGGTCCATTCTTTGGGGGTTCAGCTTCTGTTGCGCCTTCTGGTAGAGCTGGCCGCCAATTTGCAACGCGTTCACGAATCTGTGGAACATAGAAGAGCGCATGCAGAACCAGAGCTGCGTAGACCATCGTATGTTTCGTTGGACGTAAAGTGACAGGCCTGCAGTCATGCCTTTAGTAGAGGGAGATGAATGAGTTAGAGACATACCAGCCTTCCTTCCGCCATTGCTGATCGAGGGGTAAAGGTTGGTATTCGTCGCCAGTATCAGCCTGCTCGAAGCTAGCTTGTATAGCGCGATCCAGGTCGTCTGCAGCAACATTATTCTACTCAACACAGCATCAATATAAAGGCAATAACATGAAGCACGGTCTTACCTACATTCGAAGGTACCATCGCCCAATTGGCATCAGGAGGCCTTTCGCTTGGTCCAAACATCGGACCCTCTTGAGAGGCTGTCTCAAGTGACGCTTTCAAAGCGCGCGATAGTTCGTCATTATTGTCGTCGTCACCTGTGAGGTCGATATTGATTGGTGAGTTTGGGCGAACAGCGGGAGCAGGCAGCGGTCTGGGCTGGTTTATCTCCATCTGCGAGTGCGACGTCCACAACGACGATTGCGTGTCTTCTCCCCTGTCGCCCTCGATCATAGCAGAAGCTGCTTTCTCTACATCGCCATCGAATTTCCGTAGGACGCGCCTAGCCACTTCATAGTCCACGCTTCCATCCATCAATGTGATTAAAAGCTCGATGTTATTGGACTCTTTCGCCTCATCGCGAAGGTGCATACTTTGCAAACTTGAGAATGGATTAAGTTAAGTGTGCTGAGAGTAGTTGGCTGGCAGAGTGGATTGTGTTAGGATTCAACCTTCTGGAGGCTCAGTGGCCCACGGACATATCAGGCATTTTGATTAATCAAAGCATCATGATAGACGCCTACTGTGCACTCGTTATTTTCAATCATCACAAGACGTCTCAAGATCCCAGGTACGAGACTACGAGTTATGCATCGCTATCCAAGTCATGCGTTTTAGTATATTGAAGGCTTTACAATATAGGCTGTCGGCGCAAACATTTTATAGTGGAAACAATGTCAACCAAAGTGCCCGAAGGAAGCAAGGATATAACACATAAAACACATAAGGAATAAAGTCCTTTCGAAGCGGATTATACAGATAAGCAGGAGGACAGGAGGGATACAACGAGGGAGTAGTACTGCGGTGAAAAGGAACATTTTGGGGTGTCTGATAGGATGTAATACATTAGATTGTGAGAGAAGAGGTCGTCTACTAGTATTTCGTGTCCGTTCGGGTAAATGTGGTACAATCCACTCCATTAAATTAAGACGTAGGATTATCTGTGTAGGGTGTCAGGATATTGCTCCTTCCTCGTGACGCAAAACACTCACTGTAAATACCGCCATACTGAGTACTCATATACATCGGATCCTGTGGCGGTGGCTGCTGCTGCTGCTGCTGTGGATGAGACTGGCTATAAGCCATCCCCATCTGTGGGAACGACGTATAGTCATTCCAAAATTGCGGATACCGCCCCATCCCAGGTTGATCACTGGTATATGCACCAGATCCGCCCCCATGCAAAGCCAACCGCGCTTGTCCTTGATGCGAAGCCGAGGACTGCGAGTTCCCCGCCCGACGGCTGTCAACCAAGCCTGTGCTATACATCTGCGGAAGCACAGACGTAGATAATGTGTTCGGGAATGAGAGGTATGAAGATCCATCAGAGGTCCACGGATAGTACGATGACTGCGAAGTTGAGATAGGTGCCCCGGCAAAGTCAGCATGTCGCCCCGCACCAGACTCCTGAGAGTGACCGACATCATGTGACGTTCCGCTAAACTGAGTCGATCGCCAGGTGTTGGCGTACCCTTGTCCTGATCCTGGTACGTTAGACGAGCTGCTCGAGGGTAGAGCCTGTATGTGCGAACGCTCGTATGCATCCTCTGAGTCTATTGAATGCTCAGCTGTCCGCTTCTGGCGATCCCGAGAAGTAAATGAAAGGCATGCTTGGCTAGAGTTCGAGGGATTAGCCATGACGTTTGAACCCCGAAGAAGCTCATTGGCACGTGCTGCGGAGGGCCAGACGACTTCCATGTCTTGCAGTGCATCCATGCACCTGAATAGACCTATCCGTGATTGAGGGTCATTCGGGAAGATGGACGCTGTATATGGGATGAGAATACGATCGGCAAAAAAAAACCCCGAATAATGACTTACAGCTCGTGACATGCATAATACCCGCCGTAAAAACATAGAAGCAGAGAAAAACAGGTGCGCGTTGCAGACAGTACTTTTCCCGATAAGATGAAACTAAATACATCTCACGTCAGAAATTGCTTGCAGAGGGGCAATAAAATAATTTACCGATAGATGAGATGTGGTTCGCAGCACCCACGCACAGCTCATAATGTTTTTTGCTCGTCGCACACGCTTCGGCATCATCAACATTATCCGATTTCCTATTAAAAAAAATTAACACTAGCAACGGGGAAATGTCAGGGCACCCACCCCTTATTTAGAAGGTACGTATTCCGTATGCTACATGGCCAGTTATTTTCAAAGGAATAACAAACAAACAAGGGGGAACTCACAAGGGGCGATGTAACAACAATGTCGTACACCAATACTGCATGTGTAATGTCAAGATATGGGGCGGAACAGTCACGCCCTGCTTCAATTGTAGATGCTCTGGCAAATCGAGGTACCACTTATTCAGCAGCTCCTCAAGTTGTGCCACCTCAGCGTGCCGAGAATTCACGGGATGAATCGCATACAACGACTGTACGAGCTTGGAAAGAATAGTTGCTGAAACATGGACTTAGCTATGGTACTGCATGGTCAGATGAAGATACTCACAGAGATTTGCAGAAGCATTAAAGCTAGATAGAATGCGACCAGTTATTGAACACCTTATCTCTGCACTAGGTGGATACCCATGTCCGCGGGAATCAGGCGGCAGCGACTCATGAGGAATCCACAACTCCATCTCCTCCGCCTAAGTTTTAAAAATACCCGTCAACACACCAGATTATAATTGATATAACGTATTCCCGTACCTCATCCTCGCCCGGTAAGAGTGTATCGTAATCTCGCTCGAAGATTGCAAGCGGCCTTCCGATATACGTGCTCACATACCCATCGAGCACAACACATCCCCACCATATCCGCCGCCGTTCCTGTAGCTCCCGGGGGCCGAACAAACGTCCGACTTCCGCACGGGCCCAGCCGTCCGCTGCCCGGTGCATACCGAGATCCTGCGCCATACGTACTGCCATGCCCGTGTACACCCAGGCTTGTGCCATGGCACCAATGCCAATTTCGCGGTACCCGAGTAATAGAAGAGCTTGCACGGTACTTGGCATCGAGGATGCATAAGTGTTGTCGAGAAGTTTCTTAGCGACGTTAAAGTACTTATCACCTGCAGTCCACATCGGGGTTGGCTCCCGAACCGATGATGCTGATGAGGGGGGAGGAGAGGACGGTGGGAGGGAGGAAGATGGTGAATAGCGTTCAGCAATGGAAAACATGCTGAGGAGTAAAAGCGGAGAAATAATGCGACGGGGACGGTGGAAAGGCGACGGAGATTTCGAACCCTGACCATCGGACGCAGGCGACGGCGTATCAGCAGCAGATGGATTCGGATGCCTAAAATAGATGTCAGTGGCAGTCGGAGGAAACTCGTGAGGCGACACTCACACTTTGTAACCCTCCCAGAAAGCCTCCTTGTGCAGGACCGGGAACGCCGAATGTACATAAGTAAAATATATCTCCAATAAATGCTCCTGAACAGCTAGATCAGGCATGACGCTACACAGATCTTTGTCCATGACAGATAAACCCATCAGAGGGCTATTAGATGGGCTTGCGGTAGAATTCGTCAGCGCATCAATGCTGGGTATTACGGGCGACGTATTTGTGTCAGATGGAGGGAGTGGTGGCCAGACACGGGCCTTGGGGAAGCGCCTGTGACATGTGAGACATTCATGCAAAACATCGGCGAACAAGCCGCTTACCATATTCCCCCTTCATTCCGAGCTTCCTCCTTCGCATTATACCCCAGCAGGTAAAGACCACTTGCCTTTCCGTGATACCGGACTTGTTCGTCCTCGTTCAAGGAGAGCTGGCCCACAGCATCCGCGACGTCGTCTTCGTCCTCAGAATCCGTACTGGCAGGTGCTTGTGTTTGTGAGTGGTCGGAGGGATCCGGAGATGATGAAGAACCAAGTCGCCGGCGTTGACGTCGTCCATTATCGTCGAATGTAAGAGATGGCGAAGTTCTAGATTGCGAAAGTTGGATCGTGCGCGGGTTGTTAGCACCAGATGTAGGCGAGCGAGGTTGTGATGAAGACGGGTGGGAGAATGATAGAGATGATGAAAGGAGAGATACAACGCGATCCTGCCATTCATTTGAAGGGCTGTACAAAAATATATATTCAACGCTGGTGAACATTGGGGAGAAATGAACTTACTGTGTGGACTGTAAGTCAATGCCACTGCCCTCCGTTGGGGTGGTATTATTTGGGCGTGATTTAACACTACCACCTTTTCGTCCTTTGACACCATAGGAGGAGGTATCGACACGATTGAGGATCTCACGAGCAAGAGTGTCCTGATTAGAAATTTAAATTTATCAGTATATGCGTTCAGTCAGAAATGTACGTTGTCAACAACAAATGTAAGAATGAATGTGCCGGGACGAGAAAAAATTGGGCTGACTGAGGTACTTGTGAATATCGAGGGTGCAAATGAATTAAAACATGGAGTCTACGAAAAATACTAACCTGTCTTAGGGTGTGCAACACATCCTCCAAACCTGCAGCGCCGCCTGGAGGCGGCCTATCCGCTTCGCCATACCTGCACAAAATTAGTAAATAGTTTTCGTTTACAAAAGTATGGTTCAGATGCACCTTTCGCTATGCTCTGCCTCAACAGCGAGGAGAACACCAAGTAGGGCCTCAGTTTGGTGCAGCCGAGCTTCGATGGCGTCAATGTATCCCTTAGGGGGGCCGCGCTTGCGTGAAGGGCCGAGGAATGTACACGCTACATATTGGGTGCGATCAGATCAGAAAATGCCGAGAGCGAGTAATCGGATCATTGTAAGCATGAAGTGTACAGGTGTTGATGCGAAAACAACAGATGGTGACCTCAATTACGGACGAGGCGTATCGTATGTCAACAGTGTTCCAGAATGCCAGTCACACGTGGCAGGATGTCATTATCAAAGGCGGTTGCGAAGGCCACAAAAGGGAATTCATGATGTATGGTTGAAGAGGGTAACGAAAGGTGACCGCATTCAGGGTGGCGTCAAGTGGCACCGCGTTGATGTGGATGGATACCAGGGAGTAGTTGAGGAGCCGCAAAATTCCAGAAATGGGGAAAGGAGGTAATGAGAAGGAAGGAGCGAGAAAGCATGGTCAACAGATCATCAACCATTGTAGAATTACGCAGACTTACGCGTTCCCAGCATGATGCAGCTTTTACAAGCCTCGCCATCTCCTGCGCGCTCGCACTTGCATTTGCTTTTGCGGCATTGATCACAAGCTAAAATATGATAAGGCATGGATTGAATAGACATTTGAGACAAATAGGGACTATACCTTTGCTGCTCCTTCTCCTAACGACTCTGTCTGAATAGCTAGATGAAGTAGCGGGCGCGCCAGAGGAGCCAGGAGGATCAGGCAAGTCGTCGCCATCATCGTATTCGTCCGGGAATGATAGTGAATTCAAGTCGAGAGCGGAATTTGCTGAGCGTTTGCTGAGCCAAGCGTCCTCCGGATGTGCCATAGATCCGAAGCGGTAGTACGGACGGTCTGGCAGAGTGTTCGATGTTGTAGTAAAATTATGATTAATGTGCGCAGTACTGTTGGGCGCTGACGCAGAAGATGGAAAATGGAATGAAAAAGTGTGGGGTGGTGAGGGTGACAGATCAAGATAAGGCGAAGAGGATAATTCCGATTTTACACTGGCAGAATGTGAGCGTGCAGAGTTGTTACTGCCTGCGCTATTTGGTGTATCAAGACCGTAATGTGGTGCCGGGTGCGAGTCTAGTATATAGTACGCATTAGCTGGGATAGCCATCACGACAATATGAAAGAGGAAGGGTTTGAAAGAGGACAGACTCGTTGGGACCCGTATTTCAAAGATTTCTCGATCTCTTGCCAAGCCAACTGTGCGATCTACGAGCTGTGACGACGTCGCTCGGGTTCAACAACCCTTGATTCCAACTCCTCGGAAGGAGCGACCCTTGAAAGTCCATCCCCGCTTTCTGAGCAATATCAAGCCATCACTTACCGATTAATCGCTGCCCCAATGTACGTTATTTTGCGAAAGTCGTGGCGTCAGAAGCTTCAAGTTTCAAGTTGTTTGGATTTTTAATCTTCTTAGCACCGGCCAGGTAGTCAAGGTCACCTCATCCTCTCAACATGCGAACTTAATGCTTATTACAGAGTGATTCAGCCTCACTTGCTCCTTCTTCCCACTCATTTTAGCCCATATGTTCAGTACGTTATTATTAGAGCACCTTTATAACTTCGGTGCTCATCCGCTGAGCCCGAGGAGAATTTTATTTCTTCTATCGCCTTCAAGGGGGTCTCCACAGTGGTTCGAATGTGTTATACTACCGGCGTACACTCACCGTTTTGTTAGATAACCTTTCACCAAGTAAGTGGTACACCCATTGTAACATTTCAACTTCCGATACTCAGACAGACAACTCAGCAGATTAGAGAAGGCAAACTATTACCGGGTAGCATATGGGTACGTTTTCGTTACCACTATCTTGTTAAGGAAACCCCCTCTAGTTTGTCTATGCCCTATGTCCGTGCCACCAAATCAATTTTTATCATTCAACGGCTTCCGAGGGCCCGTAATCTTCGCACTTCAACTTAGACATGTGTCATTCCGAGGAATATTTATTCGCAAAAATTAACTTGGAGACGAGGTTCATGTTTTTTTTTTTCTTTCTTTTTTTTCGTCTTTCAGTTTGTTTGACATATATCGGTGTCAGTCTAATTCACTCTGTAGTTTTGACATTGAGGATATCAAATTCACTTGGTACTTGCAAACAGCTTCCGGGTATGTAGGAAGTCTTCCCCACGTGAACCGTCTCCGTCTCCATCATTTCCTACTTACCAGGTGGTTCTCGTTGTAGATCGCTTTCTTCTTCTAATCATTGTTTGATCGTAATTTCCACTTTAGCAAGTTGTCTGGCCGCCGGTACCGTCCACCGCCTTCCGTCCAGGCACAAGTCCCACCAATTTGATTTGATTTCGTTAGTTCTCCGTCTTCGCTCGGCCACGTGGTTATTCCCGTCATCGCTCCGAGATCGACCCGTTTCCTCCCGTTTCCAGCAACCAATCTCGTCGTCGCAGACACTTTCGACAGCCCTGCTGCAACGGGTTGCGCTCCATATATATTGTTACACGCCTACATAGCATCCACGCCTAGCCATATGGGCCAATTTTCCAGCTACTTATGCTTTTGAGAACAATCAAGGCAACCATAACACAACTATTTCGCGGCTTTGTGCGTGCATTCAATTAAAGCCAGCTCCGAGTCGAAGATTGCAAATCTAAAGTTCAAGACGACCAGGGACGTTGTTCTTCAATTTCCCTGTTCCTATCCCCGATTGGAGATCTGTTAGGTATCCCGGAAGACGCACTCATGGTTGCCTATGCAGCACAAGACTACACCTGTAAGTACCATACGCACGGATCATGCATCATCGATCACCGCCGTGGGCGAAATCTAGTAAAGCATTCGGTGTTTTCTTAAAATCTTCCTATCCCAGGATTACTCACTGTTTGCCGTAAGATCAAGGAGTTGAATTTGAATCACCTGTGCATTAACGTTATTGTGCCAGGGAAATTGTATGCGACATAGCGCACGAATTTTGATTGGCTCATTATCTTGCTACCTGCAAGGTCCGAGCTATCAATATGTCGTCTCACTACGCTCGGAAACGAACGTCAGAGACTAGCTCGACAATATAGCATGATCTCAGTCCACCTAACACCACCGAACAATACCATACACCCATGCAGTCAAATTTCAGAGTCGTATTGTGAGAGATGAATTAGGCAAGCGCCAACAATACATTCCTGCTGTTCGCGTGTTAGCACAGCGCTGGTATAATGATGTTTGCAGATCTCGCCTTAACTGGATTGCAGTTTACATCCACTTGCAGCCACTTCGCACGCTTTCGTATGGCCCATCAGTGCCACCAAGGGGACCACGTGGAAAGAAGAGGAGATAAATATCAGGATGAAGATACGTACATCTCGTCGATCGAAATGAGTTTCTTCGAGTTCTGTCGGCTAGAGGCCTGGCCCTTGTCATGTGGGGTGTGCGGCCAATTATGTCAAAGACAAATTATATACAGAGCAGGCGTACAAATGAGGCCTCATCACCTGGATACTAATCTCAGCCCTCCTACATCCGGAAGGATCCCTCCCGCGAAAAGTGACAAGTATGGTGCGGACAGCGCGAAAGAATGGAGCTTGCCTAAATCCGCGGGCTGGTTCCTGTTAAGTACTGTTGGTACAATGGTTCGCGGTACCCCTCCTTGTGACTTCCATTCTGGCAATCTCGTGACGTCATGCAGCGGTGTCATAGTTCTGATGATAGAGGCTGAAACAAGGACCTGCGGAGTGGGGCAGCCGTACGATAATTGGTCAAACACGAAAAAGGGCAATAATGCCCGCGAACCTTACAGGGCATTCCGCAAACTACGCATAATTGGAGAAGTAAATCATTCCCGCGAACCACGCATGATTAGACAAGGAAACCACTCATCTGATCGGAAGGATAGATAATTGGATTTCGGTTCATTCCGGTTGTAGATGAGTTCCTGGACAATCCCGTAATAGGGCAAGCGACATCCGGACGCTTGGGCTGTCGAGGGAGGCGAACTACGTATACAAGGAAACTTGCATAGTCCATAACTAGTAATGCACTTCGGCAGTCGGGCTGAGGAGACGGTACCATGGCGTGTTTGCATCCATAGCTCAGTAAGTAGTGAATATCTATAACTTCATAAGCGACTCAAGGAGTGACTCTGGCAAATACGGCTCACCCAATGCAACTAAGGTAAAACTTGCTGCAACTTTCTTAGTAAATCAAGGGTGACTTTGACAATCATGGTACACCAATTCGAACGCGGAAAACCATCCCCATCGTATCACAGGTATGAAGTCAGAAATTTTTCACGGAACTGCCAAGGTTCAGATCTCAGAAGGCAAGCACCGCGTCAGGCTTCAACGCTGTGTAGTATGAAAGCGACATCACAGGAGTATGCACAGCACAGATAAGGTCCTGATCCTGGCTAGATCTGGGGTTCAGAGTATGTATATAACGAAGCGCCTAGGCTTGCGTTGACCTTGGTTTGATCAAAAGCTATGATAACGAAAAGTGGGTGGCTCACTGCTTGGCTAGACTAATTTCTGATCACATAGAATCTCCGAACTGGTAGGTGGATACCGGAAAGTCGTGACTATTGTTGTTCAAGCTTTGAAACCCATGGAAAATGAGAGAATGCAGTAGAGGTTAGTGGAATAACCGGGAAACATCCAGTCGAACGTTGGTGGCGTTCGGAGTTGTGTCACGGGTCTGTCCACATTTCATCATCATCCATGGCCGCAAACTCAGCTTCCAACCAACCGACTACGGTCGACTGCACCTATAAAATCCTTTTGCTAGTCTGAAGCTTATCGCTCTAATAAGCTACCATGTTTGGCTGTTGTGTTGCTGGTCGTCTACTGCAAACCGACCTGCAACAGGTGGATGAGACACATGCCCTCTTTGAGATTCCAGCCGCTGAGAAAGTCAATCATGTATGCGTGTTTTTACTTGGTACAGGTCAGTGCTTCATGCTCCATTCCTCCTTTGAATAACAATGACTTATCTCATACCGCTGATCTATAACATAGTTCCATTTCCCGATGGATTTGGTGCAACTGTCCACTTTTTCTGGCCTGGAAAAGGTTCACAAATACTTGGCATGTGCGCTTACCTTTCATCAACTGAATGCAAAGAACATAGACCTTACTTACGAATTTCAGGCTCTCGAACGATAAACCATCGGCCATATTCCGCCTTCGGTCCGCCTTCTCTTCCACATCAGCACCCCCATCAGGCGTGTCAACCCCTTCTGCGTTTACATCCGCGACTTTTTCTTCTGCACCCGGTCAAGTTACCGCTATACTCGGACTTGCATTAGAACCTCTTGAAGCGATAGCCGCACAACTTGCTTCTCTCCCCCAAAATCAAACTCCGAACGCTATGAATATCACCCCCGCCTCAACACCAATGTCATCACTGGCACCAATAGCCAAACCTGCAGATCCATCGATGCTTGCGGAGAAAATAGCCAAGCATCTATTCAACTATATAGCGGGCTTCGTGCCAGCAGGAACGACTGTAGGTCCAGAAAGTACTGTTTCAATGGGTGTGATTGCTCGATGGTACGAAAGCTTTATTGGGAAGGTGAGGGCAGGCGGTGTCGGGTTTTTGGAACGTAATGAATAGCTTCTGCCGGGAATGGATATCTGATCTTCGATCGATTATGATGAACTCGATTGCATTCGTGAGAGGTTCAGGCGGCTGCCGCTCACTAACTTTGATTTTAGTATCAGGGTATCTGGCAAACATCAATCTATGAGCCTGTGGTGGAGTGCAGTTGATGATCACGGGCCACAAATCACAGCATGCACGGGAGGTTCATAAACATGAATTTCGTTTACTGTGGTGTCATGATGAATAATTATTCGGGTTATGGGTGTGTTCCATCATATGGTCTTTGGTCAGGGGCTCTCAGCTGTTCCAGAATTATTCGTCAGGCCTCAAATATGCAAGGAAGTGATTACTGGAGTCGTTTCGGGACCGAGCTATTATATCCAAGTCAGCAGCCGACTGATTCTTTCGTACAACATTAATGGACTCGGACAAATCGCTAGAGTGTTCCGCGGCCTTTCGCGTCGACTATGGGCTTGCAAACATATGAAGCCCACCGTCAGCCGCGGCCTGTGTAATGAATACGAGGTTCGTAGTACGGTACCGATCTTAATATTGTAACAGAAGTGCTTATCGGCAAGAAGCTTCATAATCAAGAAGGAACGAAGTACTTCTTTCTATATGGTCTGGCTAGGGAAGACTAAAGAAGTTTATATTCATGTTGGTTTTCCGCCACGAATCAGAGCTGGTGTTACACACCGCTGGTGGAAAGCCGATGTGTTTTTTATATCTTTATTTTCGACCGTGAGGGTCAGACACTACATGCCGGAACCTGACATGCAAATTTAGCAAAAAAGATCAAACAACCAACTTAAGCTGCATGATGCTCCCAGCATGAAAAAATAATCACGAGTGGACTGGGAAGATATATGATACAAATACACTTCCGATGTCAGTATTCATGGAATGGGTGCTCGTTATTCCATCCACCCACACCCAACACATTCCTTCTTAGTTCAAGTCTACCAATAACATCTCCTCCAGCAAGTACAGTACTTCCGCCCTGTGCTCGATACGACCACCATCTTTCAACAGTGTCATCAATTTGCCTTCCTTGGGATTCATTTCTGCACCTACGACACCTTCCGACTCAGATACCCCAGGGTAATTTCCCAGACGTTCTCATCCTTCTTGTGCTTGCCGGTTTGGTAGTCCAAAGTCAATTTACCTGGTCAAATGGTGGTCAGACCCCAGTCAACTTTTAAGCTCTGGAAATAATGAATACAGCTGCAAGTGATCCATGTCAAATACAGGAATAATGATGTTATTCTATCTGCCGGGTCGTCTATAACATTAATCAGATCTCTGATATCACGGGACCTGAAACTCGCCCAGCACGCTCAAGGGCTCCATCCTGTAGCTCATATGCGGGTCGATACCGCGGTGGAAGCCTGACACCATTGGCACTCCTGTCATTAACCTCGCCCTGGCATTGAGTATTTGGATCGTTGACCAGAACCTGGAAAGGTCCTAGTGTGCTCCTAGGTGACTCTGACACCCTCAAATCAGAGACAGGGTCGGCGAGGCATATCTGGTCGGGGTTATCGGCAATGATGGTAAAAGGACCAATGCCGTTCAGAGACGACTTTGGTGGTGTTGGTTCGACGAAACACATTGCATTTGGATTGTTTGCCACAACTGTGAGTGAAGAAGGAAGAGTGTGGGATGAATCAGAATCCTTGACAAGTAGGGCTGGATTTGGTAATGTGTTATATGTGGATCCCAGAGACGTGTAACTGCGCAGGCGTCAATCGCAGCTTGCGAAATAAAAACATCCTCACCCTTCGTCATACAACGTACAGTACGGAATTTTGAGTTTCCTTAGGAATGTCCAGACATCTGAGTATGCCCAATTGATGATTGGGTTTATTCGTTCGAAGGCGGGCCATCCAGGATCTGTCACATTTCTGTATGATAGGGTTGCTACTCAAGTCATGAGTACTTGCATCGCGCAATAATAGTGACACTGACTTCCATGGGGGTCCGTTCGTCGGGTGCCCACCAAAATCGCTTGAATATCCGGGAAACGTGATTTGTACAACTCCAGGGCTCGCCGCATCCCTTCACCTCCCCTAGCCGCTCCGACAGGCCGAGTCTGAAGGCTATGTCCTATGTAGCCACTGCTCCCCTTAAGCGCTGTTGGGGTCGACACACCAGGCGTCACACTTTCCACAGGCAACTGAATATCTGAGGATAGATTGCATGTGAAAAGATTGAGGAGGTAGTCTTGCGTAGCTATCTTGATAAATTCCTCCAGTGCAGAGAATGGTGACGGGTCTGGAATGTATAATGCGAATATAGGGTTATGCGTTGACGACACCTTTCTGGCGAGAACCGCAGCATACAGATGAAGTAGGACGGTGCCTACGGGACAAATGAATCAGTATATGTACATCTCAGGGGTCCTGCTGACGCACAATCCTTCCCGCCGTTGAAACTTAGAGATACGTGGTCTTGCCTATGAAGTAAAATATCAGTGATGAACCATGCATGAGCAAAGAAAAACTGCTGCTCACCCGTATTGAGCCAGACACTGCTCGATGACCTGCAATGCCTCTCTTACAATGGGTGCTATGGGTTCATCTGACTCTGCAAGATTGTAAACGTCGCTCGCTATCTTCTTGTAGTCCATATCGCTCCGAGTGATGACTTTGAGGATGCAAAGGGGGAAACCTGACGACGGTCCAACGTGGAGAATCTAGAGAAGATGTTACAAGTAAATACGGTTCATACAGCAATGGTGTGGGTACAAGATGGTTATTGTGGGAATACAGTCTGGTGATCTTGATCAATCAGTCTCACATAAAAACACTCCTCTTATAGCAGGGCATAGTTATTTGAACTTCTTCTCAAGTCAACAACGATGGCAGCCGTGGTACTTGTCACTGGAGGCACTGGACTTGTCGGGAAAGCTATTGAGTACGTTATCGAACACGAACCAGAAGGCTCGCGCTTCGGAAAGCGTCCAGGAGAGAAATGGATCTTTGCTGGCTCTCGCGAGGCCGATCTAAGGTGTTGTTATATGATTATTGTCCGGATAGCAAGCATCAATGCGTAGTGCAGAAACCCAGAAGAAACTCTGAAGTTATTTGAGAAGTACCAACCCACTCATGTCATCCATCTGGCTGCCCTTGGTATGCCTTAGTTCGGTTCAGGATGAGCCCATCTGATCTGCATTTCTATAGTGGGCGGTCTCTTTGCGAACAGAGAGCGGAAGGTTAGCACAAATATCCTCTGTCGTGGGCGATCTGACTCCTTGCAGATGACTTTCCTCCGCGATAACATGCTGATCAATGACAATGTTCTCCACGCTGCTCACATCAAAGGGACAAAGAAAGTCATCTCTTGTCTTTCGACGTGTGTCTTCCCGGACAAAGTCGAATACCCACTCACAGAAGAGAAGGTTCACCTTGGTCCACCGCATTCGAGTAACTTCGGATACGCGCATGCGAAGAGAATGGTAGATGTCCAGAACCAGTATGTCATGATTTTATCAGGACATTTTGTACTACGGCTCAGATCTACTGCGCAGTGCTTACAAGGAGGAATTCGGCTGCAACTTCACATCTGCCATTCCGACCAATGTATTTGGACCGCATGATAACTTGTACGCTCGACCATTGTAAAAGTCATCATGTCCTGGCTGATCCTTCCAAAGTGATCTGAAGCATGCGCATGTGATGCCCGCGCTAATCCACAAATGCTACCTATCACAAAGTCCGTTTCCCCTCGTTTCAAACGTTCTGCACACTGATACGCTTTCAATGCAGAGAACAACACGCCATTTAAAGTTATGGGTGACGGTTCGCCCCTTCGTCAATTCATCTACTCCCGTGACTTGGCCAAGCTATTCATATGGCAAATGCGCGAGTACGAATCCGTCGAACCTGTCATCCTTTCAGGTAAGCGTTCGTATATCTACTGATGTGAAGTTTACTGATGAGCTCCCAGTGGACGAGAATGACGAAATCAGCATTCGTGATCTTGCGAATTCCATCGTCAAAGTCATGAATCACCCTGACAAGCCCGAGGTATGTTCCTTTCTACTGTTCACGAAATACCTGAGCAAAGATGTTCTCATTATGAAGTTCGAGAACGAAATCAATGACAACGGCCAAGACCGCAAACCCGCGTCGAATGCAAAGCTCATGAGCCTGATTGGCGACTTCAAATTCACGCCATTCGAACAAGGTTTGTTGTCCTCGTTCACTCATTTACTCATTTCAGTTCCTGATCATTGACTGTGTTGCATAGCCCTTGAGGAGACGGTGACATGGTTCCTTGAGAACTATGCTAATGCGAGGACTGGACAATCTCACGCTTAGATAGGCTGGGAAAATGTACAATGGTTCGATGTTGTAGAATTACAGTTGCGTTTCACTATTTGCCTACTTTTCATTCATGGCCTGTATATGTAGAAACATTTACCACTATATTGACCAAGCTTCTGGGGGGTTATCAGCAATTAATACTGACACTAACATGTTTATCACATTCTGTTCACCTGAATGGCGGAAAGCGGGAAACCAGTACCCTGGGCCAATTCGAAATTGGACACCCCAGTAGATGTTGCCAGTCCTTGCCACCGGAGGCCCAAAGGCCGGCCCACGTGATGGCTAGGAAGTTCACGCTGATATGATTCAAGCCCAGCTCCTCCCCAGCCGCAGCGCGTTCTTGGCTAGAGTTGACGAAGAGAGCGGAGTGCAACGGTGCCGTAGGTCTTGGTTTCACGATGGCGGTTGCCTTTGCATCTTGCTGGAAAAACGCTGTGCCAAATGTAATCCAGGGGAATTAGTTGCCGCCGTTGTGAGCTAGCGTGTGAAGCGGAAGCAAGGTTAAGGACTGCAGGAGGTTCGCGGAAGACCATGCAGTGGTGGTACTTTGAGTGGAGATTCACAGCACCAGATGCTTTCTTAACACGGGAATCCGAGGTGGAATTTTCCGATTGCTCGAGAGAACCAAATTACTGTATCGCCGAGTACATAGACAACAAGACAATAAGGTGTGATAAATCAAAAGTCTCGAAGGGAAAAGAATAATTCCATCAGAATGTAGGAATGCTGGGTCGCATACACGACTGTATTTACTAATTGAGACCAGACGCCAATTTGAATGAAAACAGAGGCACATCGTTGATGTTCCGACAAGTCCTCATAAGGGGTGTTACAACATTGTGTACGAGATCGTTATCGACCGCCCGCGGGGTGCCAGTAACTCTGTCGAACCCTGAGAAGTGCAGACCAGTTGCAAGTTAACTTCATCGGGAGTTTGCTCATGACCGACGACGGTATAAATATTGTTCTCCGTGATATCAAGCAGCATAAGAGGTTTATCCCTAATGGCAGAAGTCGTAATTGCTTGAGATGTCAACCGAAATTTACCCATATGTTGCGCCACAAGGCTCCAGGTACACACCTGCATGGCTTCATCTCCAGATAGAGCGATGCACATGTACTTAATATACCTTGTCCGGCCACCACGGAAGACATAACTTCATCGAATGACAAGCTCTGATTAGAGCCAGCGTGCCACGTAAGAGAAGGATATCCGTTCCCGCTATTCGCCTTTGACCGAAGGGGCGGGTGCCATAGAGATCATGGTTCAACAACGGGCTGCGGCAGAACACAACAAAACTTCAAAGGTATCTAAAGAATTGTGAGAGCGATAGACGGGAATAGAGCGTGGTGGGGCTGCTATTGAATTGGGCAAAGTCAGTGGAGAGCAAAACAAAAAGGTCAGCAGGGTGCAGTGCGAATTTGCGCTATTTTATTACTGCCATACCTGTGGGGACGAGAGGTGGTGTGGGATTTTCGGAGAGAGAGGAATTCACATGAAAGGGTCAGCTACTGAAGGCTAGAAGAATTCTGCATGGATGCCATCTCCTATCCGACCCTCTTCATCAACGAGCGCTCCAATGAAAATGATTAAGGAAGCCGAACTTACAATATGATCGAGCCTGCGTAAGGCTGGAGCTAACAGCGCTGACCTGGACGGTCCGGGCAGTCTGGCCGCAAATTTGAGGTAGACCAGAAGAAGCACAGATATGATCTACACTGATGTTGATCTAGAATGTCTGACCGTCTTTGGCCCCTTTGTCGGCGCCTGTTCGAGAAGTCACCTCAGTCGTTCTGCAGGAAACTATCAGTAGGGCCTAGATACTGGGAACCACCAGGGTGGTTGGGAGCTATATGCTGGGCTTCCATCCCACTGGGGCCACAAAGAGCACGATGAAGGAGATGCTGATTATGGTGAAAACGATTTTGAACCCATACTATGTGCCTTTCAACACAGCCCAAGTTAACCATCTTTGGCTGCTAGCACCAACGAGCACCTCATTTCTAGTGGTCACCACGCGCCGTCGTCTCAAAGCTAGCCCATCTGACGCTGTCGGTGCGTCTTGAGATGAGAGCCGCGACTGCGTAGTTACTCGTCTATCAGAAAGTACAGTCCCATTATAACTCGAAGCGGAGGAATCGGACTACAATGTTACAGATCGTTTGCCGACGCAGAAGACCGATGGTACCATAAATATCATTGAAACGAAACATGGAAGGCCTGCAGTGGTTATCTGAGAGGCTGACAGTCGCTGTGAAGACTAGTGCCCGAGGAAGCGAAGTTGATGAAGCAGTAAGCTGAGTGTGATACTGATAACGCCAAACTTTGTGAATGCATGAGACCTTGTTAATTCGGAGGACCTACTTAGCAGGAGTTCTATAACATACTCTAAATTGGTGACCAGGATGAGGCAAGTCGCGTCGATAGAGTAGTCGGTAAATTTGACGACAATGAAATTTCAAATTGGATTTATTTATGGTAAATTTTAATTAGGAATGCCTAATTTAATGCATGCACAAGGTCCGGTTCGGCCCGCATCATCGACATCTTGAACTAGTTCGCCGCGATGAACGACAAAGGCCTGCAGGGCTGACAACAAATGGCGATATTCAGTGCTTTGTGGTAGAATTGGCGCTCAGCACCGGGGACATTGTATAAATGGCTCTGCTTTAGCATCATCCAAGGCGCAAACCCATAGTACCTCTACATCCCATTTCCAACACACACACCCCCCCGTCAGCAATGCCAGACTACGCCTCTCGCAAGTTCATTGATCTCATTTTCCAGACGTCATCTAAGTGGGCTGATTGGGACCCGCCGGTCCCGATCAAGGTCAGTCTACGTGCTTTAGTGAGCACTATCCCGAGTTTGCCTAGTGTTAAACGTTAAGTGCCCGTAGGTCGGAAGCTTCGGGAAGATTGATAGGCCAACTGGAGTGTTTATAGCGGACGGGAATATATACGACGAAGCATTTCAAGAATCATTCAAGCAGCAAGGCTTGATGATCGATTTGTCTCATCCATCATGCCAGCCGATAATGGGTGCAGTCGAGGAAGACATGATTATGTCCTCGATGGACGTCAAAAAGAGTGAGATTTTGATCACGCCAAAAGTGTGAGAGTGCATGCACTCCTTGTTGATGCCTATCATTCATTCACAAATTACAATCGAACAGCTCCGCCCTTCCACCTCCTTCAAGGCCGAGTTCCAGTTCCAGGAGGGCAAACGAGGTGCTGTCTTGGTAATGCGCAAGCCGCAGCAGGAATATATTCCTCAGGGCAGGGTTCTGAGCATCATCCACGAGGCGCACCAGTTGAAGGATAAATATATCGTCAGCAGTATATTTACGTGTCCAGGGTATTATCTATACTTGTCCAACAGGTGTGCGTATTACCTTGTGCTTCATTGGTGGCAGTATGCTGAAGGCCTGATGTAGCCGCAGAGAGGGTGACACTGGTGCTTACTGATAATACTTCGCTCACAACTCCAATAGACGTATCTACTGGCGGAGAAGCTTCAATCGATTGGTGGACGGACGCTCAAGCAGCGTTTCTCCGAAAGGCGTTTGACAAAGCTGGACAGTACCGTTACACGCCTCTCTTCGACCTCAAGCGCAGACAACATTGGTTTAAGCGAAAGTTCCGTGGGCAGAGGTACAATCAACAGAAGATAATATGTGCGTTATTCATCCCTGCCTAAACATCCATCAGCTATTCTGATAGCTGTTCAGGTGGATTAAATGTCCACCACCATGGGATCCTCTTGATGAAGACGGAAAAGAAGATATCGTGTACGATGAAGTACGTCAGGGTTTGCTAGTCCTTCGTATTAATCTTGACCTATGAATTACCTTTAGTGACGAAGATTCCTTTTCCCGCCGATCTGCGGCGGAGGGCCGTTGTTCATTCGTGTGATATACCGCGAGTAAACCTACATAATATATATACTTACCCCTTGGTCAGGCCGATCAGGATTGCCTGTTGTTTCATGCATCATGCATCAATTTCTCTGATCTACGATGGCCGCGTCACAGTATTAAATCTCTATTATACTATGTATCTGTAACTACACCATGTGATATATTTTATTTGTCCATATACAAGGACGAAACGGGTGACATGTGCACGCTTCACCTGCATTCCACCGCTCCCCGTCAGTAGTATGCGCTGTGGCAATTTGCTATCTGCTGATTCTGCTCGCCGTGCGCCCATCTCCACGTCTGAGTCCACTCTTTGCGATGCGGAAAATGTTTACTGAGATGGATTAGCGGCGAGCGCCAGTAACGAGACAATTGAACATTAGTGGTGGCAAGTTGGCAACCCGGGCCTTACCCTCTCAGCTCTGGCAGGATATGCCGCGGTGTGCTTCCGTGTCGAACTTTGGTCTTATGGCCACCTCTAGACCTTTGAAGGGATATACTCTGCAACAAGCCGCTCTCGACCTCCGTTCGTTCACGAACAACTCTACATTGCATAACCGCTTTTTCGCGACTGTGCACTTCTATGATTTGACCGGGCGGCACCGCAAAACACACTGGACTCTATCTGTAATAGTCTCGCAGTGTAGTAAATGACAGTCAATTTGGGAATGGGTGCCCCTTGAATAGAGCCGCAAGCTGTTCACTGCAAAGGCTGCGTGGACATTAAAATTTTAGAATATTAAGGAGCAGGACCCCGGGTAAATAGATAGTACTACCGTAGCTTATTAGTCAGCTGCCGGGCTTTGTTCAATGCTTGACTTCCCTTATTCGCGACACGCAAGCACGAAGTCGCGGATACACCGCTCCAGTATCAAAAGGCGCTCTGGGAACTGCATGATGACCCCAAGCCGACTGCACACCAGCAGCCTGGGCTATCTAACGTCCCCGGGGCTATAGCCTGCCTCGGCAAGCAGGCTTTCTATTCACCCATATAAGAGACAACTTGGGCACGCTTCACGCTCGTGCTCCATGCACATCTCGGGTTACCATCATTCCCAGGAATCTGCAAGTGATATCTGGTAGATCAAAGGCTTATCTCCACGTTATCAGGAAGATTCGGTCTCGTCTTCTCGTGTATCAGGCAAGGGTGGAAGTCGTAATTGATATGCGTGAAAGGAGATATGCCTCGCGTCCACACTAATAGACTACTAGTAGCACGTTGGTTAAGGTGACATAAAGCGAAGACACGCACCGTTTAATGCCCAGTGCCCACGGTGTTGCCCTAATACAGAAGCAACGGTCTTCTTGAATCTTTCGAACTTTGCCTACTCAGGCTAGGGGCGACTACTCGGTACTAGTTATCGACTGCGTGCATAGTACCAGGCGGAAGCTTGAGGATATTATTGTGGCAACTTGCGAGGCCTGGTGCGCACTTGGCGCTCGGCCTTCTACTCCGGGTGTGCTTCCTTAGCCACGTTTTTTATCATTTGTCGTCAAATGGCCGTTAAACTTACCTGTTTGTCGAAAAAAGCAGCTGAATCATTACAGACTTGAGGGGTGTTTTTAATTGATAAAAGAGTGAAACGAGTCGTGTCATGAGGCAAGGCAGGTGGTGGTACCTGGTCTTGGAATGACGACCACAGTAACGTTCAAAATCGCTTCCCCGTAACTCCACTCCCTCAAGGTCAACAGCCTACTTAAGCGAACCGCGACTCATCAATTCAGCATAGTCTTTCTCTCAATCCATAACCACAATGCCTAGAGTCGAACAAATTTGCTGCAGTGAGTCCTTCGGCGGTATCTCCTATTATCTGTTGCTCATTTATCACGTCCAGTCGGTGCTGGATACGTTGGTGAGCCACTGCTTCACGGCATCGCTAATCGCTTTGAATACCTCGAGCTTACATCTGCTTTGCAGGCGGTCCTACCTGCGCCGTGATCGCACTGAAATGCCCTCATATCCGGGTCACCATCGTTGACTTGAACCAAGCCCGCATCGACGCCTGGAACTCGCCAGACTTCAACCTGCCCATATATGAGCCTGGTCTGGAGGATGTCGTTCGCCAGGCTCGCGGACGCAACCTCTTCTTCAGCACCGATGTTGACAAAGGCATTCGGGACGCAGACCTCATTTTCGTATCTGTGAACACTCCGACCAAAAAAAGCGGTGTCGGTGCTGGCTTCGCTGCAGACTTAAAGTGAATTTTCGATTTTTTTTTTTCGCCCTTTATTGCATCGGCCCTCCCATTATATGATCGTGTGCTGACGATCTTTATTCAGCTACGTCGAGCTCGCTACTCGGCGCATCGCAGCTACTGCGACATCATCAAAGATCGTCGTCGAAAAATCTACCGTACCTTGCAGGACCGCGGAGTCCATGCGCACCATCCTCGACGCCAACAGCAAGCCCAACGCACGCTTCGATATCCTCTCCAACCCCGAGTTCCTCGCTGAGGGAACCGCCATCGACGATCTCTTTGCTCCTGATCGTGTGCTCATTGGCTCTTTGCAGACACAGGAGGGCAAGGAGGCCTGCGCGGCGCTATCAGAAGTTTATCAGAATTGGGTCCCGTGAGTTCCTTCATTGTATTGCGGAGCCTAATGATGTGCTGACCGACCACATAGCAAAGAAAGGATTCTGACTGTCGGCCTGTGGTCTTCTGAGCTCTCGAAGCTGGCTGCGAACGCCATGCTTGCGCAGCGCATCAGCTCCGTCAACGCACTTTCCGCCATCTGTGAAGCCACAGGCGCCAACATCGCCGAGGTCGCTCACTCTATCGGACAAGACTCACGCATTGGCCCGAAATTCCTTCGTGCATCCGTTGGTTTCGGAGGTAGCTGCTTCCAGAAGGATATTCTCAACCTTGTCTACCTATCAGAGAGCCTCAATCTAAAAGAAGTAGCTGAGTACTGGAAACAGGTGGTAACGATGAATGAATACCAGAAGAGGAGGTTTAGTAAGCGGGTTGTGGATACCCTATTCAACACTATCACTGGCAAGGTACGCGATTTTTCTGCCCATCTGTCAAATCGATTTTGATCTGTTTTAGCGCATTGCGGTTCTTGGCTTTGCGTTCAAAGCTGATACGGGTGACACCCGTGAGTCAGCTGCCATCACGCTTATCCGCGACTTCCAGCAAGAAAGGGCTCTTGTCAACATCTATGATCCTCAAGTGGAGTCAAGTCAAATATGGGCAGACCTCAACGAGGCTAGTCCTGACGTGCCCCTTGAAACGAGTAAGCCACATCTTTTGCATGACACATTGACAACTCATGCTGCTGTCAAAGTTCAACGTCAAGTCTCTATCTGCTCTTCTGCATTGGAAGCCTGCAAGAATGCTGAGGCAGTCATTATCGCCACTGAGTGGGCCGAATTCAAGACGATTGATTGGCAAGCCGTGTACGCGGGTATGAACAAGCCTGCATTTGTTTTTGATGGGCGGTTGCTTGTGGATGCAGACAAGCTTAGGTCAATCGGCTTCAAGGTGGGTTGTTGCATCAGGTGTCCGCCCGAATAATAGTTCATTTACTGATGCAACGCCGTTCTGTCCAGGTGACTGTTATCGGCCGTGGAGAACGCCTCTAGATTTCATTCAGCCCCAGAAAGGATATATCATCCATAGGATGTTTCAGCCGCTTAGCTTCTTACGGATACAGTGCTAATATCTCTTGTACTTTAATACCCTTTGTTCTCCTGACTTGTACTGTTCAGGACGTATTTTCCTGCGTAGATCCAGACACATGAACATTTACGAATGGAATCTTAGTTGATGAATTTCATTTGCTTTTTTTGATTTCGTTCTCTATTATAGACAGCGGTAGCTTGGACTATGTAACAGGGGCAAGTTACCATCCAACTGTTTTAGCATAGTTGCACTCCCAGTCAAGTCTCAGTATCCCCTCTTATCCCACCGCAGCCTGGATTATGGGCGTCAACATGAATTGGGGTTTCAAAAGACGCAGATAAGAGCACGCCCCATGGCGACGACATGGACACTAAGTAATAGCACAATCGAGCAAGTGGACGCATATACATAACGACAATATCAAGTACATCGCAAAAACTGGGGAGAGGATCAAAGTCTGATCATGTATAAGCTTTAAAGACCGGATCATGACACGCTACAAGAGAAACCCTGAAGCAGTATAACACAGATCTGATAACGAAACGACACGACACGAGAGGCACGGCTATGAGAGAAGAAAAAATAGGTCTGATAGGCATGAAATAGATAGAGGAGACTTCTGATTGTTCGGAAGGCCACGTATTTGGCCCTTAAGCACCAGTCACTAATACGCCTTGATCAGGAGGTGCAGCTCTACTACGATCTGGAACGGCGTCTCGCGCCATTCGGCTTGTATCCGACGATAACGAATTTTCAGGCCACAGCGGGCTCTGCACAAGCGTGTTGTATTTGCTGTATCCGCGAGCATGTGGCAACATCTCAGTTAAGCGACGAAAACCTGACGATGGTCATCACCCCATGTTTCCCCAAATGGACGAAGTCGGGTAATGCTGCATCGGCCGAGGATACTGCGGCGGCGGCAAAGGCACTGCAGGGGAGAGGTTGAATCCACCCTGTTGATAATGCAACCCCGATTGTGGTGGAAGAGCAGCGGGAGTCATCTCCGCATTCAAGTAGAGTGACTCCTGTGGGTACGCAAATGGTTGATGATTCACTGCATTTAATGCAGTCTGATATGAAGGCGAGCTCTGAATTGTACTAGCTGAGTGGCGATGCCCGGGACCGGATGATCGTGAGGCGGAGTGACTCATGTGAATGTTTGATGGATCGTGCGTAAACTCAAAGGAAGGTGACCACGGGGACTGTGAATGTGCAAAAGAAGACACGGGCGGAGGTCGGTTAGCGGAGTGTATAGCTCGGTTGCTTGGCGTCGATAAATTGTGCTCAACACCGTAAGTAGGCAGTGCCTGGTTGGTCAACAAGGGTCTGGGACTGAGATTTGGCGGGTTCTGATCAAGAGTCCTTGACCATATAGAAGGTGGAGCGTTCGAGGGCCCAGAGCCGAAAAGAAATTGAGATGGAGGTGCGATAGACTGACGGCGGGGAGATCGCGCAACATCACCACCAGCTTGGGAGAAACTGTTTAATAAATCCTGAGCTGTTGTTCCTGTGAAGGCAGAAGGCGGCGATGTCGGGGCCGCACGACCTGAGGACAAAACGGATGTACTGGGGCTCATGAAGTTGCCGTTTATCATGGTTGACGACAATACAGGTGTCGTTGGCAGGGCCGATACTGCTCCCGGCGGCGAAATGGAGGCCCTAGATATCACATCAGACACGTTGAAACGAAACAGGCAAAATTTGACCTTGGGTCCCAAACTACGACATCATCATCCTGTTCTTCATCTTCATCTTGTGACTCGGCGTTAAGTACAGTTCTGAATGCGTCTTCAACCGGATCATCGTTGTCAGTATGCCCTGTATCGGTTATAGCATCGTCCTCCGCACAAGTCTCCAGTGGCATCAAGTCAGGAACATCAGGACTTAAGACTATAGGTGTAACAGGCATCTTTACAGCCTCTGCACCAATTGCCTTTGCCTGAGACTGAGCATCAGGTGCAGTGGCAGTGATTTCAAGCACGAAAGTATCACCCCGCAAGTGGATTGGAGAATCCTATAGTAAGGTAAACCCGATTAATTCAAAGGCAGAGCAATCAGCCCTCACTGGTGATTCCGCGAGATTCTTGAGGTCTTTGAGCAAATCAGATATCCTCATCAATTGTTCTTCGTTTGGGTGAACGCTCTCGCGACCCTGCGGCCCAATGGTGGCCGATCCATTCCCCTTGTGCATATCAGCATCCACAATCTTAGGAGTATCGCCAATCATGAGGCTCCGCAGTGGAAGAAAGCCCCTAAGGTCGATGTCCTCATCCAGCGGAGAGAGCAACGAAGGTAGCTTCTCTATTGGGAATAGCTTGTATAGGGCGTTGTAAAAAAGCAGGAAATGCTGCCAAAAGACTGGCATGTCTGAAACGAATACCCCTGGAATTTCCTCGACCTGGTTTGACCCCGTAGAGGGTGTGGAATGCGCCACATACTTGAGATTTGCTAACAACCACTTGCTCGCAACACGCAATGCGGGTAGAGTGCGCCTGAATGCCGCAGTGATACGCTGCGCAAGGTCGTTTTCAGCTGCATCTTCTGGTGGAAAGCCAAGTTCCTTAGCGCCGATCTCCAGGAGAGACTGGTGAATGGCAAGAACATGCTTCAGAATCTGGGATTCGACAGTAGCTGGGTCAGGAATCCCTCCGGATCTCCTATTCGAAGGTGGAGATGTGTCCCGGATCATGCGATGTTTCCAAAGTGCTCCCTCTGAGAGAACGATGACCTTGGTCACGGCATCAATTGGAAGAACGCGCTCTGAAACAAGAGCCGTAAAATCCTTGACGACATCTGCTGCATGCACAATGGGATTTAACCTTGATCTAAGCGGAATTATTTCATCTCGACAACTGAAATTATCGATCGAATCCAATCACTCACTTATCTGAACCTAATCGCCATAGTGCGTGCAATAGCACAACTTTCTCCTTAAAGGACTCGACTCTCAAGCGTGGTGGTAAATCACCAAGATCGGGAGGCATTTGTACCCCTTCCCGTGTCCTCTTCGCTTGCTGATCGAGCGATTTATTGAGAATTTTCTTGACATTCTCGGATGCAGTGTCATAAGGCTGACGAACGCAAAGCGCTCTATAGTAATGGAGAAGCGAGCTGAACATATCGTTCTGATAGAAAGCGAGAATGGCCAGCTGATGTGATGGATTGCCCTCCGAAGGGACCAAAAGGCGCGCTTGATCGTAGCACAGAACAGCTTTGTCGTAGTTCCTGGCGCGTGGTATGGAATCAAAGCTCATAGCGCCGCCTCTTCTGTTGCGGCCGCCCCGCCTAGCTGGCCCTGAGCCGTCTTCCTGACCGGCTCGCGGACGCCCTCCACCTTCGTTGTAAAGCTCCCGATATCGTGCCATGTCACCTAAGCATACTATCGCCTTGCTAAGAATCGCGAGATTAATTTCGCGTTCGGCAGAGCTCGTAGGAGAAGGCGTATTGCCTTCGATGGGAAATTGAAATTGGTTGCGACCAAAACTGGAGTTTGGGACACCTTCGTGCCCCCCAATGGAGCCATTGGGAGTACCAAGGTCATCTGGAATCGTAATGTTTAAGATAGAAAGTATATGCTGTGCTTCGTGAAGTGCAAAGGATCGCTGGTATCGAGCTACCAGTTGTGTCCAAAATTTCTCTTCTTCAGCAAGAAACTGGCGGAATCGTTGCATCAGTTTGCGATACTCCACCGGGCCATGATTACTCTGCCTGGGCTGATGGCGGGGTGCAGATTGCAGCGTTCGATCGAGAGTTGCGACGTTCTGTTTGTAGTTAGAAATAAATTGATAAGATGTCTGCATCCAAAGATGAGTCTCGGCATCTTTAGATTCCTTGGCGTATGGCTCGACGAATAATAGGCGAAGATACAGACGTCGGAGACTACGGACAGTGGACACTGTTAGGGACACCGTCAAAAAAGGATTTTGGGATGCGAGTACCTCTTCCTTTGAAACTCAACCTCTCTATCCCATGGAAGGTGAGCTTTGAGAAGCTCTTTCAGACTTTGGTGGGTTGATTTTGCCTCACTAAGTTGAGGATCAGTTGGGGGTCAGCGAAGTTGAAGATAGCAGCCAGCACCTTGCAAGCTGGGAGGCGGAATCGTTCATTGTATATAGCGTGAGCGCGTCTAGATGGACTATGTGTCCATTTTTTTTCTACCTTCACGGACGTCGAGGACAAAATCCAGCGCTCAAAAGTCGTCTGCGATGATGAGCGACCGTGAGACAAACCGGGTGCTCACATAAGTTAGTAGACATAACCTTGATTAGACTACTACTAAAAGGTTCGGCCCTGCCAACTTTTATCTTGCTCCGCGGTACGGTTGTTTTATTTTCTGCACCGCGAATTTATTGCAAACGTACTATGATCTGTAAGTTTACAGGATGATGTTGACATTCATGTTATATGAAAGTGTCAGCCACTCTAGCGACCAGTGATACTATAACTGCACGTGTGCAGTCACGGTGATCTTGAGTCAGAGATGAGACTTCCTGGATCCTTTTGTCCTTATTCTGATTCACGCTTTGGAAGCGCCTCGGAAGAACTAGCACATGTATCCCTTTTTTTGCCTGAGCGACTGGTCAGGATTGGTGCGTTTATAATTGGACTCGTGATGACTGAGAGTTCCAAGTCCAGTGAACACGGCGTATTGCCAATTACATTACGAACGATCTGTTGCGCATGCCGACACGCTTGCGTTAGCAGAAGATTTGACTGAGGTGAGGCCTTGAGATCTCGTTTAGCCTCATTGAATGCGAACGCTCTGTAGAGTGGAATCAACATTAGACTGATAAGCGGGGTCACCTGAATATTAAATATTAAATATCAGAGGGTGCATACAACTTGAACATGGTGAAAGGCTTACCTATAGTACAGCCTAGGGTTCGCATTGCCAACTTCTGACCTTAGGGTACTCGATGGGATTTCTGTAGTTGCATGTTTTCTAGCTATCTCACGTGATCACACTCATATCAGGTGATCTCAACATGAGTCACATGTAATCACGAACATGACCTTACGTGCTAAGCCAAGATCCGCAATTTGACATTCACGTTTCCACCTGCACTCCCTCAAGATATTTGGATACGCCACCAGCGGGTCTAGAATGCGTTCAAGTTTCTTATCTAGTGGGCAGCCGCGTGTATGGACATCTCCGATGCTTGTGCTTGACGCTCGCGGCTGTCTTACTGGAATTATCTGTGGACTGGCAAAGGCCGTATCAAATTTTAGTCGGTCCGGTTCCGTTGACACCGTGATCAGCAGTTGATTTTCTTCAAGGAGGCTAAATTGCAAGAATTATATGCGCGATTAAGAAATCTACGCGGCACTTTTCGCCTTGATGGGAGAATACGTTTGTTCTGACTGCGGTAAGCTGTCTTTTTGGCAATTTCCTCACGCTCAACTGATTGACGCCCACCTCCAAAGATCCATGACTCTCCCTAGGCTATTTATACGCTCGACCTTCTACAGAGCATCCTTGCGAGAGTTTACCTTCGCACACACGATCGCAAGGAATCTCATGAGTCCTAGTCGTGCCCTGCATTGCACTTGCGTAGTGGGTCGTGCCTTGTATTTCACGAACCGAAGCATATAGCACCGGAGACTGGAACCGGACAAATAGCTTCCTTCATTTACCGAAGAGGGGCCCTTACCACGATTCTCACATCCCGCACTTTCGCTTCAGTTTGATTCGATTCGGACCATCCATAAATGAATCTGACGGATCGAAGACGCTTGAGGGTATAGTTTGGTAAAGTTGTTACTCCTGCGCCATCGCACTTAAGCTTGTGTTCGCGCCCTGGAATCTTTCAATAAGACTTTTTCGGGATAGATTAAGCAACCAATCTTGGATGTGAGTTCATGTTCCATCCCCACCAAAATGTAGTGCTGAGACATCTTATTCTTGCTTGCTTGAATGGGTTTGATTGTCAATAGAACACGTTAATTCGCAGAATTATTATAAAAGCTTCCAACCACTATGCAGCATATCTCTCCCACCATTCACCGCAACTCGAAAAGAGACCCGTCGTTCTCACCGACACTAGCCGTTTGTTACACTCAAAAGGTGCCAGCTCACCCACTTCCGTACCCGTCCTGCACCCGATGCCCCCATTCTATGAAGTAGCGGTCGCCCGTTTTGGGCAATCATCCTCAAAAGCCAAATGGGTAATCGTTGTCGTATTCACACCATCTACCCATTCATTGGTCTATCAAATCGCTGGCTCAGCTGTTGACTACAGCCTCGAAGCACCACAATCAGTCACACTCAAAGATGGGGAGAATGGTTATTTGGGGAGGGCACCTATAGGATTGGTGGATTCCGAGAATCTACATCTGCTCCACACCACACTCGCATCCATTCCTGTTGTTCGGGGAGATGCCTCCTGGAGCAGCCACAACTGGGTCATGGAGGGTATAGCTGCTCTTCGGAGAGTACAGGGATATCACATCGACAAGCACGTGTCAATGCAATGGATATCAGAAAAGCTAGGAGGGAAGTAGCTCGGGTCATTAGTGACCGAGGGAGAGCCCGTTTGCCGTCATCAAGATCTCTGGATGAGGGTGGAGAGGGATAACTATATCGGGGACATTCAGGGCAAAACACATATAGAGGGTGGAATGATAAGTGTATTTTGGGACACTGTATCATTGCAGCGGATTGTACTCCTGTCACAAGTATTCCAGTAGAGCTTATCGTGTTCGTCAACGGAGCGTTGGTATAGGCGTATACCATTGGCTTCGTGCAGCTATGTAGGATATGCAATGCGTTATTGATGACTGTACATCGGATCTTTGCAAGCGGTGCGAATCAGAAGTGCGCTGGCAAACGCTGTCAAATTGCCTGACAAAAATAGTGACTTTGTAAGCACCAACATTTGTGGCACCGAAGAATAAATAACGACACCCACTTGCCGAAAATACTCACGTCCGTGCAAACCTGGATCCCATGTAAACACGTAATGATATCTTGCAGGTCTGAACAAACCATTATATATACCAATGGTATGGTGACAAGACAAACATAGAGCGTGAGTTTACGACTGCTTCACAACAGGCTATATGCGTCGCAAAATTGAGGCCACCACAACTTTGTGTTCAAACGAGTGAAGGAACATCAATCATAATCATGTCGGCAACGGAAGCTGAAGCCTTCATTAAAGCATCAATCTACTGCGAGCAGAAATAACCACTCACTACATCATTTAGTAAAAGTAATCATTACCATCATAGTTTTCGTCATTTGCACAATTCAAAAGCTCACGTCAGGATTGACTGTCAACTTCCCAGGGTTTCTTCCGCACCAAAGCTATGGAAGTGCTGGGAGGTGCGTCCTGGAAGGGTGTGATGACCAGGTATGTAATGTCTAATAATCATGCGACAAACTTACATTAAGCGCCTCGGGGATGACCTTGTTATTGGGTATGTTGTCTGTCTTCCCCTGCTCTATCAACATCGTCAACTCGGTGAACGTCAGCATACGAGTTTCGCCGTCTCCAGAGTCCGAGGATGGAGGTGATAAATCCATGGTCACAGTCAGATTTTGGGAGTCCATGGTATTCTGATGGGACCGAACATCCTCTACGGTCAAATTTTGGCCGGCCACTCTGTTAAAGTAAAACAGCTGCGTTCGAAGGATGATTTCGCCCCTTTCGGAATCTGTCTTGCCACTCAGTGCACCGTGTGCAAGTAGGTCCGCTAGACCTTGCTTGCCAAGTAATGTTAAGAAGATGTACGCATCTCAACAAGCAAGAACCTACCTGATAAACTTCGTCCGAGGAGAATGGAAAGGTGAAGAAACTACGCAACGCAGTTTCTTCCCTGCTAGTCTCATTGATATCAGATCGTGATGGGCTTTGTTCTGAGAAATTAGTTCCGTCCCTGTGGAGCAAGTAAGCGTTGTAAAAGCACGGGTATCATTGTGAGTTTCACATGAAATTGGCAGCAAAAAATGAACGGAGCAAGCTGTTATTGAGGTGTATCGGACTCCGAGAAAATCGACGATTAAGAGTCGATCAAAAGATCATGCAATGTCTGAGTCCTGCCGCCGGTCACCGACCCTTTTCGGAGCGCCGACTGAAGGTATTACATAACACACTTTCGGACCGTGTAACGTTGACAGCACACGACAGCCTTTCTCCTTTCACTGTAAATGATGTCTTCGGGAATCTCTAAAATCACAACTGAGCGAAACCAGCGTACTTTGCTGGAGTTGGTGATACAGCCAGGGAACGGTAATGCTATTTCTCAAGATTACTCGACCATGAACTCATTACTAGTATTCAAGACACTTGTGCAGATTGTAAGTCGCGGAACCCGCGATGGGCTTCTCACAATTTGGGCATTTTTATATGGTATGTATGACACGCAATTCAGCTGTGTACTCGCAGACGTTCATCAGATGCAGCGTCAACTGTGCGAGCATCCATCGCAAGCTTGGTACCCATATTACGAAAGTGTGCGTCAGAAACACACATAATTCTGCTTTCAATTATTAACTGACAATTATGCATAGAAAGAGCATTACCCTGGACGCATGGACCAAGGAACAGGTCGAAGTAGGCATCTTCGTATCTGCTGACATGAGAAATATTAAGCACGGAGAAATTCTCTTCCTGTTCACAGGTCATGAAGCAAAACGGAAATATCACATCAAACGCCTTGTACAACCCTGACGAAGCTCGCCACCCCCCACCCACCAACATGATGGAGGCAGAACGAGATAGCGAAATTGAGAAGTTCATCCGAGGTTCGCGAGCCTTCTTTAAATTTGTCTTTATATGTCTGATGTCTTATTACAGCCAAGTACGAGTTTAAGTGGTTCATGAACTGTAAACCTTCCAAATTCGTTTCATCTGCTCGTCCATATTCCAATACTGTGACTACACAGCCAAAGTCCACTCCTACGGACCCTGCCCCATTTAAACGCAAGACCTCCCCTCCTCCTCCTCCAGTTCCTGCCAAAAATGACACCCTTCCTGGCGCATTATCTCCAGTATTTACACCCGTGCAACCCGCGAGATCCATCTCCCACCCGTTGCCTACACCCAGTTCCTCTGTTCCGAGCCAGAAGCTTTCTGGGAGCCAACTTTGGGATGATTTAATTTCATTACAGGGCCCTTCGCAATTATCTTCCCTTCCTTTGCAGTACCAGTCGCAGAACCCCGATTTCTCATCGCTTCCTTCCCAGCCCCACTCTATGCCCCTGGCCCAGACAACTCTTGATGTCTCGCCCACACTGTTCTCGACTTTCCAGGCTTCCCACATGATGCCCACGTCAATGTCATCGATAAGGAATACCACTTCAGTCACACCCATGCATACCATAGCTGCTGGTGCGACTACAATCGCAAATCCACAGACACCGTTCCAACATCAATTTTCGGGCTATTCATCTCCTAACACTTTCAACTCGTTTCCTCCACAGATGAGTGCCGAGGTTTCAAGCGGGACACCCGCTGCGGCGCCCCTACCTCAGCAGAATTATTTCGCTCAATCATTCGGACAACCCTCTCAGCCAATGCTTGCTCATATGCAAGACCCCAGCTTCATGTATGTACAACCGCAATCACAAGTAGTTCAGCAACAGTACTCCCCGCAACCGCCATTTTCTGCTACACCAGGATTTGTAGCGCAGCAGCAGCCACCGTTTATGAATAACACATCTTACGGAGGGTGGCAGGGTATGCATGGCAATTTTTAATGGATAATGAAACAACAGACTCTGGATGTTCCTTTGATTTGAATTCTTAATATTCCTACACCCTTGCGATGTAGATATGCTTAGTTGCACTTTAATACTCATTCAAAGCGTCGATTATTGCACTGGCAAATTATGTGTTAGGTATGTCCTGCATGCAGTCCGATCCCAGTCTCCCACATGTCATGTCATATGCCGCAGTTCATTAGGCCCAACGACAGTGATGTCCTCCCTAAAGCTTGAAAGCGGTTTGGATTCTTGAATCTGCATAGTTTTCCTAATATAACATTGACTCGACCCGCCCTTATCATTGTTGCGCACTCGGAAAGAAGATCTAACTGTGGAAAGAGGACCTGTGGGTACCTCATGGTCAGCTTGTCTTGGTGCTTCTAATGCCCATTGATTTGATTATAGCAGTTCGAAAATAACCTCGGGGATCTCCAATCTCTTGTTCCAGGATACTTTATGGGAATCTGGAACTCCACCGTGCACGAGGTTATATGCAAAAGTTTTTTCTTTTCTTTCAGCATGTGTATATTTCCGATTATTGACATGTCAAAGATTGGTGGTTATGGATTTATTGACAGGCGGACTAAGTTTTATATAGAGGTGATTGCAGCGGCGGATACAATGCTCTGTTCAAAATGATCATTCACACAGATACACACAATGAAGCCCCAGAAGATGAGATCGTGATACTCTCTTTCCGGCGTGTAGCACAGCGAGATGCCAGGGGTGTGCAGATTGGGTACGATTCTCTTATTGTCCCTGACTCTAACAACAATGTGGCCAATTGCATTGCCGCGGTGCCGGACAATCCAAGAAAGGAAAACGAGAAGTTGGTGAGCTTTGCTTCCGTTTGATCAAGATGGACCCCCTCGCTAATACCTGTGGCCATCGAAGTATGATGAGATACTTGAGACAAGTGAGCAGATTTCTTAACGATCCCTTTCTTAAGTGACTTCAGATGACCTATCTGCGTTGTTTTTCTTTCGTAGACCCTTGCTACGACAGCAGATATATAAATTTAGTGGGTAACTAGAGCGGATGGCGGTTTGTGAGAGAAATTGTCGGTAAAATTATGAGACATCTTCCGAAGGAAATTTGGGTCGATACAATGCGAAACAGGGGCAATCAAGAAATGTTAAATAACTTGGCCACTCTCATGAAGCAGCTGCAGGCTCGGGCTGCTTCCAGTCTGAATCGGTCACTGCAAACTCCCACTGCACTTTTATCAAGCTTTCGTTCAAGATCTACCAGATGGGTAGATATAAGTACCGTTAATTATGTAATGTACCGTATAATCTTGTACCGTTGTGGCGGTGCGATAAGCAAAAAAATAAGTCATTTCTGATTGCATTTCTTTAGTGCACAACGACAGCTGGAAGGTAGTTTTCGGTTGCACGATGACCAGTACGTCCCTCCCTCCGGGAACCGCACCCGTAAAATCACAGTACGTTTTTTGGGCTTGTCACTGCCTTTGAAATGGTTCACCGTCCGTAGATTCCTGTTGTCCCCTGCTACTCTTCCTACGGTTGATGATGACGCAGCAGAAGGTTCAACAGCTCACACTGGAACATCACGTGTGGATGCGGTAGATGTAGACCCAAGGGGCACGGGTGGCCGCAAAAAGTGGACCAAGGCGCAAAAGAAGGAAAAGCGTGGTGCCAATAAGGGTCGCAAGTTTGGCAAGGTACACGATCAACTTGAGCTATGCTGGAGAGTCGCCAATGGGAAAATATGCGAGCATGGAGATGAGTCCGTGTTTTCCTTCTGCCACCTCTCAGGATATCTCTTATGCTGTGTAGATGTCGCTTTACGCATGACATCGACGCGTATCTGGCAGTAAAACCAAGGGATATCCGACTCCCTTCAATTACGACAATATCAGATGTTCCTCCTTTT